TTGGCCTGTAGAAATCACACTGGCCTCTGAGGGCCCACGTCGGCCTCTAATGGTTCCAAACTGACCTTTGAAGGCCCTGTACTGGTCTCAGAGCCCAGAGGGCCCTAAACTGGCTTCTAAGGGTCCCAAACTGGCCTCTGAGGGCCCCAAACCGGCCTCTAAATGTCTCACAACCGGCTGCTGATAACCCCATTTCTGTCACTGACACCCAAGGCTGGCCCTTGTCCCTTGGGTGCCTCTGAGGGTCCCGTACTGGTTTCTGAAGGCTCTATGCCGGCCTCTGAGGACCCATGACGGTCTTTAGGGGCCCTGTGGTAGTGTGCTCCTCGATTGTCTCCCTGGAGCCGCTTCTGCGATGACTTGCCCGCCGGCGCATGGGCCGACGGCTGGGGTCAGCGGGCGCGGTTGGAATGTGGACCAGTCTTGTTCGAGACACAATGCAAGCGGGAGCCCTACTGTCGCTTATAACAGGCCCCGCACTGGACTCTGAGGGCCCCAAACTGGCCTCAATGGGTCCCAGCCGGTCTATGGGGTCTCTACACCGCCACTGATGGCCCTATTATGGTCTCTGGGGTGCCAGGTTAGTCTGGGTCCGTGAGGGCCCACATCGGCCTCTGAGTCTGGGGGCCCCATACAGGCCTTTGAGGGCCAATACTGGCCTTTGAGGGCCCTACACCGACCTCTGAGGGCCCCGAATCGGGCTCCTCTGAGGGACCCACACTAGCCTCTGATGAACCCACTCCGGTCGCTGGGGGCTCAAGATTAAACTTTGGGTGCCTCGCACTGGGCTCTGAGGGCCCACATTGACCTCCGAGAGCTCCACACTGGCCTGTAAGGGATCATATTGAGCTGGCCTCTGATGACCAACTGGTTTTGGAGGGCCAGTACTGGCCAGTGGCCACTCAGGGTCCCAAACCGGCTTTTGAGGGCCATAACCGGCATCTGATGGACCAAACCGGACCTTGGTGGCCCAAAACAGGCCTCAGACTTCAGAGGGCCCTCCACCAGACTCTGAGAGTCCCGTCTTTAGTCTCTGGGGTCCAAGGAAGAACTTTTAGCGTTTCATGTCGTCCTCCAAGGTTCCCTGTCAGTCTCTGTTGGTCCCCATGTCGGAATTTCGGAATTTGAGGGCCGTTATCTCGTCGCAGCGGGCCGGCATTAAGGTCTATTACCATATCGGGGTCACATCGGTTTCTGAGGGCCCATGTCTGCTGCCAAGGGTCCCTGGTCTCAGATAGTTCCATTTAGGTCTTTGAGAGCCCGGGCCTGCCCATCATAGGCGCCTCATGCCATCTTCTTATTCTCTGCCGATCTCGGAGGGCCCCTGTCGATCTGTTTGGCCCGTGCAGGTTTTTAAGGGCCGCTGCTAGTCTCTGAGAGCCTCATGTCGTTAGTTGTGTCTATTTTGGGTCGCATTGGCACCACACATGTCTCTTAGGGCCCATACCAGTCAAGGTGTCCCACATTGACCTCTCAAGGACCAACGCTGGCCTCAAGGGCTCACACCACCTCAGAGGTTCCGAACTGGCCTTTGACGACCCCGCACTGGCCTTTGATGACCCCGGGCCCGCACTGGCCTCTGATGGCTCAGGCAGGTCTCGTAAAACCCACGTTGGAGTTCAAAGACCCATATTGCTATGCGAGGTCTCACCCGGTTTATGAGGGTCAATCTCAACACTGGCCTTAAATGATCTTACGCCGGGCTTATATAAGGGTCTCATACTGGTTTCAGAAGTTTTCCGCTACTGACCAAAAACTTCAGGGGGAGGGGGGGCGGATATTCGCCCCCCCCCCTCCGCGGAACGCGGGTTAAGCTAACACACCGCCCCCAGCGAGGGTCTACAGGGGCCCCTTTGCCAATTCCCCCCCCCCCCCCCCCAACGCCAAGTTTACGACCGTACCTGGTGGCGCCCACTTCCGGACTATTGCGCCCCTCGGAACCGCTTTGGGCGCCCTTTCAGGGCTGTGCAACCCCAATAAAAAACAAAAAAATCCACCCCTGCTTACGTCGCGTTAAAAAGGGACCCTCCCACCTTAACATTAGTTTTGAGTTGAGATAGCCAAATTGGTGGCCATGAGCTGCAAATAACGGTTTGGACACTCACAACATCGAAAAATGCTTTAATTCGAAGATATGGAATTTCAAACTTGCAGTTTTCGGATTCTAAGGGGCTAATGCTTTGGAATGCCCCCTTAGAATTTGTGACGTCAGCGGAGATCTAACGATGTTTTAATCTTAGACTAAAACCATCTTTAACACGTGGTGGTATACGCTGCTTTGCGCGCAACGTCTGCCGCACTTTAGGGCTGCCAAATTATTGCTTCCAAATAAAGTCGCTAGTAACAGGGGAGATCCCAAAAAGTAAACAAAAGTAAAAGTCTAATATCTTGAAAACCAGTGAATATTTTTCGGTGAAATTTGGTAGATATTCGTTTTCGCTCTTTCTGAACCAAGGGACATCACTTTCATGCCAATTCATTAACTTTTTTGAAGGTGGGAGGGTCCCTTTAATGTTGATTACACAAAACTCGTTTTATAGGCTCGCAGAAACGTCAATGAAGAAAATCAGATAGCCCATGTTGCATGTGTGTGTGAGTCAAATGAACTGTTCTGTTCGCGATCTAAAAATGCTCCGGTTCGCATATCTAGCAAAAGGTATGAGCCGTCTTTAGCCCAAAGCTCCGACTGCACCCGTACGCATCACCACGGCCGTCCGTTCACTTTTCTCCCCTCACACCGTCAGTTGTCTGAGCGGGTGTCATCAGCGCTGGGCCAGCACGACGTGGTGGTGACACTGGGCGGCGACCACAGCATCGCCATCGGCACCATCCACGGCCACGGGCAGACGGTGCGACACGACAAGCTGGCCGTGCTGTGGGTGGACGCGCACGCTGACATCAATACACGTGAGAGACGAGGAGAGGAGGGTGCCAAAGGGAGAGGGAGAGTTCACTGGGACTAAAGAGCATGGTTCCTTTCTGAAAAAAAGACGGCAAATGCATTTAACGTAATTAACAGTTTCAGTGTTTGCTAAGCTTTGCTAAGTCGTCACCTGTTTTCATCGCGATGTGACCGTCCCCATTCAATGAGACTTATTGATATGACCATGCATAACAAAATGGCATGCGATGGCCTGACCTTTCTCCGATCACTATTCTATACATGACGTAACTATTTTCTGACCATTACCTGACCTGACCTCTCTCTGACCGCTCCCCCACCCCGCCGCAGCTCTGACCTCCGACTCGGGTAACTTCCACGGTAAACCTCTATCGTTCCTGATGCGTGGCATGGAGGCCTTCCACCTGGACCTGCCCGACCTGCGCTGGTGCAAGCCGTGCCTGCACCCCTCCAAACTAGTCTACATCGGACTGAGGGCCGTCGACCCGCTGGAGAGGGTGGCCATCCAGGAGTTCGGCATCCGCGCATACGCCATGAGGGAGATCGACAGACTTGGAATCGATAAGGTGAGTGATTGGTGATGAACTCTCAGATACCCCAGAAACAATCCGGGATCTAAGTGTATATTTGAATTTGCCTCTCCCTCGTCTCAGTTGGATGGCTCTTTTTTGTAGGTGCGATCTCCGTACAAAACTAAGCTATGGCTCACATGTCATCTTGTGACGAACCAAGCCAAACCGTCTATTTGGCCTCGATGATATCTTATGTGAGTTTCAACATCGCTCTCTAACACGCCATCCCATTCCGTCTCGGTCAGGTGGTTGAGATGGCGTTGGACCAGCTGGGTGCCGGAGTGGGCGCCGACTCGTCCCTGCACGTCAGCTTCGACGTGGACGCGCTGGACCCGTCCGAGGCGCCGTGCACCGGAACACCAGGTCGGAGAAGGAGCGAGGGGCAACGAATTACGGGACAGAGAAGAGGGAGAGTGGGAGGGAAAATTAAAGAGACTGCGTACTAGGGTGAAGTGGGAGACCGACTGACCGAGTGACAGAATGGAATCAGTTTCGAAAAATTTGTTACGGTGATGATTATAAAATGGACAATATAATATATGCGTTTGCATATATGCAAACGCACCGATCGATGCTTGTTAGGACGCCTTAGTTTATGCGATCACTTATACTTATATCTCCTTGAATGAAAGCTCGGAAAATTTAGCCATATGTCGAAAATCTAATATTGCTGCCTTATAAGCAGCCTAACTCACCACCCCGGCCTCCTGTTTCAGTGCGTGGCGGTCTGAGTCTGCGCGAGGGTCAGACCGTGATGGAGGAGGTCTGCAAGTGGGGCACGCTGCGCTCCATGGACGTGGTCGAGGTGAACCCGCAGCTGGGAACTCCGCAGCAGGCGCAGTACACGGCCGACGCGGCGCGGCACCTGCTACTGGCTACATTCGGGAGGTACCGCGGAGGTAACGCGCCGGAGGGCTCTCAGCTGCCGCGGCCCGAGATCAAACCCGACCCGCGCACACACCCGCACTGAGGAGGGAGGTGATGGGGGCGGTGGAATGGATGGAGTGTCAGCGTGGGTCAGGGGGAGGGACAGAAGCGACTGAGATGGCACACGGGATAGAGGTGAGGAGAGATAACTGGATGCCGGTACGAAGTGCCAGGGGAAGATATTTCGGAGTCCCTGCTGTCAGGGAGAAAAGAGGCTTTGGCGAATCTGCCAAACTCAAACCCGGTAGCCTGAGCTTAAGTGACCACGACATTATTATACGAAGCTTGCAAAGTACGGAGTAGCCACTATCATATTTGCTGAGTGGTCGCAGTCACATTGGCACACTAAAACGGCCACTATCGGCAACGGGTTTCTGGACTTCTCGTCAAGCGTAAATGGTGCGCTAACTCCAGGGAGACCATGTTTAGAAGAAATAGTGAAACTGAAATGTTATGCATTGTTTCGCAAGTGATCCAGTTCGCTTGCTCTTGTGGAAAAAGGGAGTTCCTTTTATTGAAAACGATAATACTCAACATAAAGCAGGTAGCTTTATAGGTGGAGGGAAGGAAAGCGGCTTGAGCCAGGAAACATTCGACGATTGACCGATACATTCCTGTATTTTGAACAAAACGTGTAAATACAAATTCGCATGAAGAAATTGTCTTTTAGGCATAGTTATCATGTAACCCAACTGAGCGGGTTGAAACGCTTCGAACACAATATAGGCACTATGGCAAGAAATAAACGTTTGTACGGTTGACTAGAACGGTTTAAATGTTAACAATAGAGATTAATGCTTTTTTTCTTTACTGACCATCGAAAAGATCGAACAATCGATGAACATGATTGCAACAAATCATTACGACACAGTACGACATGAGTCACCTAAAATATACATTTGTACACTATGGGACGGCGGACTAGAAAACACGAGTCAGGAGACCATGATTTGAGATCGCTGGGTAGCTATCACAGTTGTTCGTCAGCGCTTCTTCACTCCATTACATATCCATTCAGTCGAAGCGTCTCTCGTTAAATTCTAACGAGCGTAGCTTGGGCCACAATCGCATATCACAATCCGTTCACGATCAAATTACACGATTCTTCAGCACTATTTACAATGAAAGATCATCTGAGATCACTATTTTCTTTTTCTTCACTGGCTAACGAAAACTAATCCCGTTACTCAAACGCACGACTCACTCGCATTTCAACCCTATCCGATCTGACAACCTGAATGACTAGAAGGGCCATCTCTCACTACCCTTGGCCCATGATAACCTATCGGATCTCCTCACTCCCATGACCTAACCTGACGCCCCCTTTTGACCTGCCAGCACTCCCCACTCCTCTGCCACAGCTCCCACGGTCCTCACGCAGCCCGCACTACCCCCCCCCCCCCATTAGTCCTGACAGACTGAGGAGCAGAGCGGCCGCCCGTCGAATCCAGTGGTCGGAGGGGGAGTCGCCGGAGCGCAGGTCCACGGCCACCACAAAGGACGGGTAGTGACCGGTGCCCGACCGGTTCGGGTAGTAATACGCCGGACACGTGTACAGTCCTGTGTGAAGGGACGGGGGACTGTAATTGGTGTGTGGGGCTCCGTCGGCTCCCGACAGGCAAGAAATAACGAGAGCGTATAGACTGAATAAGTGAGCAAACATGATTGAATATCTCAATATCAATCGCATGCAAATAACACCGCCAGCTTAAGTGGCATACCAACTTCATTTTATGCCCTGATATCATAACGGCTTTAGCCCAGACCTACCTTTTCCGCTTTTCTTCTTATTCTCCACGGGTTTAAAGTGTACGATGGGCATTGGTGTGACGAGCTGCATTGGCGCGGCCTCGACCAGACAGCGCTTGTTGACGTCCCAGCCGGCGCCCTCCAGGAACATCCCGCAGATATACACTCCCTCCTGTACGAGACATCCGCCGAAAGGCAATGAGTGATTGATGTAATGTGGAAGAGGGCGATCCATTTCACCGAAGGGTGCAGACACAACCGTGTTCGCCATCGCAAACTTTTGCAATCTAATTATGGGATAAAAGGGAAAGCATTTCCGAAACTGCAAGTAAAGAACGGACACACGAACGTCCCTGTTTCAATCAGCCAGGTTTACACTCATACCCCTCCAGTCTCCACTCTATCCCCGTCGCTGTTACTGCACTTACATGCGGCAGCAGGTTGGTGGTCGAGTCGTTCTGGTTGTGCACGTAAAACTCCCAGGCCAGCGAGTCGACACTGAGGTGCAGCTGCCGGGCAGCCGTCTGCAGCACCGCTGTCAGGAACCCGGTGGGGAACGTGAAGGCGGCCAGCCAGAAGGCCGTGGGCGGCCGGGCGCGCTCCGACCACTCGGAGAACTGCTCCACACGCTGCACCAGGTCCCGCGTCCACGAGCCCAGAGACTTCATCGACGGGTAGGCTGTAGGAGACGGCGGGAGACGGGGTGAGGTGGGGCGGAGCACAGCGTTCTCGTGCATTTGATGTAGAGTCGGACATGAGCTGGCACCTCTCCTGGTATCATCTTTAAAAAATTGATATATCTTTTGTCCGTCTGCTTCCGGGATTTCAGAATCTCTCATAGCTGCATCAATATATTTGCAGAAAACATTACAAGTCACAGGCGAGTGGGCAACAGCAAAGCAAGCAACAGACACACAACAACGAACGACCTCGTAAGTCACAGAACGTCACTCACATCACTTCACAGGACCAACAAAGCCTACAAGACACATTCGATCCCCTTCGGTATCTGACACTCGACATAACGGGTTCTAACTCCTTGGAAACCTCGAACAATGACCTTGCAGGCTATGTCACAAGCCGCTGCCGTCTTCATCGTCTTCCGTTGTCACCACCACCAACGCTGCCGTTCTCAGTACTGGTTCATCCTGTGCAGCGGCTTGGCGCGGCTCTCGGTGGCGTTCTGGCTGCGCCGACCGCTGCGGTCCCTGCCCAGAATCACACTCGATATCTTCCGCATCATATTCATAGCTCCCGATCGCGCGCTGGCCTCCGAGGCTCTCATCAGCTGCATGGCCTCCATGTGTGTCAGTATATCCCCGGGCAGCGCGTTGATGGAGCTGTGCGCGGGCAGCACGGGCAGCGAGGCGCGCGGCATCATCTGGCTGGCGCGCCGCAGCCGCTCGGCCGGATCGCGCTGGTCCTCGGGCACCAGCTGGCGCTGCAGCATCTCGTCCAGCTCGGCCACCACGGCCGTGGCGCGCGCCAGGTCGGCGCGGATCGCCGCGTACTCGGCCACGTTCTCCTGCAGCGAGACGAGCACGGTGGCGAGCCGCGCCACGCGCGCCGGGTCGGGCCGCAGCGGCGGCGGCACCTGCACGGGCCGCTGGCCGCTCACCAGCTCCGGGTTCTCCGACAGGATGCCGTCCACAGAGACCACCTTCACCGTGCAGTCGTCGGCCGGGTCGTCGTCGTCCGCGTCTCCGCCGCCGCTGCTCCTGACGGCGCCGGTGAGGTAGCTGCTGAACAGGGTGCCCCGCTCGGCACTCTTCTCCTCGGTGTAGTCCTTCATGGCAATCTCGAGGTTGGTGACCACCACGGCCACTATCAGGTTCGAGAAGACGAACGCGCCGATCATCACCAGGAACAGGAAGTAGATGGACGAGGCGAAGGCGATGTTGGCGTTCTTGGAGTCGCGCATGGGTGTGAAGATGTCCACCCAGCCGTCCTCTGTGACACAGATGAAGCAGACGAACAGCGCGTCCATCAGACTCCCAAAGTGCTCCTGGAAGTCGTCTCCGAACACGGTGACGCCGATGACGGCCGCCACCGTCATGAAGACGAGCAGCAGCAGCGAGACGTTCGCCATGTCCGGGATCGAGTGCAGGATCGTGTCCACCACTAGCGACAGGCTCTCCAAGGACGTGCTGAAGGAGCGGACGCTGCGGAACGCACGCAGCACACGCAGAAGACGGAGCAGACGAGAGCTGGCCAAGTAGGTGAAGTTGTTACCGAAGAGCAGGATGAAGATCACAACAAAGTCGATGATGTTCCACGCTCCGAGCCAGAACGAGAAGAAGCCGTAGAACCACTTGATGGCGATCTCGAAGATGAAGATGGTCAGCACCACCTGGTCGATGACGGAGAACGGAAGGGAGAAACGCTCCGTGAGGTCGTCTGAGGTCTGCATCGCGATCAGCACCGAGTTGAACACGATGATGAGAAAGATGGAGAAGTTGAACGTCTTGCTGTTGGTCAGGTGGCCGACCAGCTCCTGCGAGACAAACGTCTCAACTCGTGCCTCGTCCACGTCGACCACCTCGTTGAAATCCTCCACCTTGCCGGTGTCCGAGGCGCCCACGCCCTGGTCGTAGCGCCGGTCGGCGTCCTCAAACAGAAATCGTCGCGCCACATACTCGGCCTCCTCCGGAACGCCCGGGCCGCCAGATTTCTTCATCACCTGGTCAATCCAGCGGCGGATGTTGGTCCGACCGCTGATCAGCTTGAAGGCGGCGGCGCCCAGGTCTTTGACGGAGGTGTGCCGTCGCTCGCGGTCGGCATCCTGAGATGGTGAAGCTTCCAGAGACGGTTGAACGTTGGCCGCCGCCCTCCGCCACCGCGCCGCGCCGGTCGGCGCCGAAACATTGGTATCCGTCACCTCACCGCTGGTTTCATCGGTGCTCCGTTCGGATGCGACTTCGTCTATAGACGGCAGAATTCGACCAAAAGACCCGGAGGCGGAAAATCGAACCGATTTTCCAGAATGCTTTCTTTCAGGAAGGTTTGGGTCTGACATGATCGGTGCGCGTTTAGTTCATACGCCCGTTTGTTCGCAAATTTGCATAGACACACTGTTTGAAAGGAAAATCGGGCAAGGTACACCTTTCCAGTAAAACTGGTGTACTGTTCTCGGTAATTCATTCACGACTTAAGCTTAAAATAGCAAATTATCCTCGATGTAGCTCATATGATCTAGCAGCTTGAATTCCTTGCAAAGATCGGGAAATGACACGAATTTGTATTTGTTTCAGATGTTTATTTTATCAGCTCGGGAACTTTGCGTAAATGATTCCTCCCGCAAAGAAGACACATTTGTATCTCAGGCACATAAAAAACACCAATGGGTTAATTCAGGCATCCTGCTTATTCGCCCTGAGACCGAGCCTAATTCAGACGAAAATTGCATCGGATGATACGTCTCTAGGTTGACCCATCCTGGAAGTGATCAAGTGCTATTTTCTAGCAGTGCTGTTTTTTTTAACGACTGATAACTGGCAGAGCGAGGCCAGCGTGGTACCCACCTTTGAGCCAGGGCGGCGGCACGCGACCCTCCAGGACGCAGACGAACACCTCCTCGAGGTCAGAGGACATCACCACCAGGCCCTTGATGCCCTTCTTGAGGTCCTCCAGCGATCGGCGGATGATCACCAGCAGAACGTTGTAACGCTGAATCTGTAACAAACACCCAAATCGTGAACGGGAACAGAGGGCCACACTGTCTCCTACGAAAACAGTGCAATTCCCCCTGGATGTTCCTCTAAGCCATAGCAATCAACTACCCATCGTGCGGGCGGAGCACTGACCTCCTGCAGCAGGACCACATTCAGCGGACACGGGTCGTTGGAGAGAATCTTCTGCGTGCTCTCGAAGTCGATCAGGTCCGGCATCTTGGTCAGCACGTCGTTGGCCAGACCGATCACCTGCAAAGAAAACGGAGGGGAGATGTTATAAGCCTTCAATTTCGATACATTTATAGTTGCGTAAGCAATCTATTGTTTGTCGGGACCAAGCAAGAGGGAACAGTTATTAGACCAGCTGTGCTACAAAGTCATTTACAAGCATTACTTTATGCCTCATGGTTCGCAACATCCACACTAATTTATACATTTCACAGTATTTTGATCTTCATTCGTCCTACCATAGCCCTCACATCCCTTTCATACTCTCCGCACCTTATCGTCGGAGCTCTGTCCGTCGGCCGCGGCGGCCACGGCCGGCTGCAGCGACAGCAGCGTCTCGAACAGCACCCGTGCGTCTCCGATACTGCTGGCGATGTCGGCGTTCGGGTGCTGTCCGAACGCCTCCGGGTGGTCCACCATGGGCAGGCTGTTGCTGAAGTCCTGGTAGTAGGACAGGTGGCCGTCCCGAGGGATGTAGTAGTGTGCCAGGGACGACAGCCTGAGAGGGGAGAGGCGAGGCGTCAGATCACAGAAAACGACGGTGAATATGATGCACCGGTTGCACGTAGAATTCATGGATCAAAAATGAAACAATGCATGAAAGTGCCTGAAACCGAGGCGGTTCCGCTCCCCTGATAAGCCGGGCGTTTTCTACGGACACTGAGTGCATGAGATAAACCTTCTTATATTATTACATTTGGCTAAGGAAGTTCTACAAAACCTAAAAAATTACCCGCGACAGTCACAAGGACACCTGCCATCCATCCATCCATCCAGCCCCATCACCCACTTGTAGTATGTGACGTTGAGCACGTCCTCGTTGAACATCTGGTTGATGTAGGTCATGAGCAGGCGTCGGTCCCAGTCGTCAGTGACGTGCCCGCCGTACATGACGCCCGCGATCAGGTACTTGAGCGCGTCCCACGGCGGGTCCTCGTACTCGCGCAGGTAGATCGACAGCAGCGACTCAGACACCTGAGTACGAGGACGGACGGAAGGGATAAGGAAGGAAGACTATGAGTATGAGAAAACTATGAGAAGACTAAGACCATGGGATTCTATGAGTCCATGACGATTTAAATTCAATAAATTATCGTGTTTGGTGAGCGAATATGTGCAAAATAACAATGCATTGACGGATGTTCTCAATATAATATGGATTACTGCCAAGGCCAATGCCCGTTTCCAGACAGACTCCTGAAAATTTCAGCATTCCTGCGTTGGAGCATAACGAGGTAGGATACTGTCAAGTTCCTTTCATCGAACATAGGGGATCGTAAGACTCGAATAATACTACCCCACAGAATGCACAGCATCAACTGGGAACTGACCTCGAAGTCTGAGTCGTTGAACCCGTAGAGGATGTTCCAGCCGAGCTGCTGGAACTTGCGCCGCTCCAGCAGCACCGAGTGGAAGAAGCACAGCGAGAAGAGCAGCTTCTTGTAGTTGCTCTGGCGCGGACAGGCGGTGAACTGCGCCTCCGTCATGTTCTGGTACAGACGCTTGATGTTGGCCTTGATGCCCTGGAAAGGTAAAGAATGGGGAGGATGTGACACGTTGAGCACAGGATAAGTGGTCACTAAATCCGGCTGGGTGGTTACCGATTGACTGATACTGTCCCGCAATGCACTGAAGCATGACGGAACATAGCGGGCCCAGCAACGTTACACTACCACACAATCACTTTCACCATGTGGTTAAATGAGTCGAAGCTGACATATTTTGAGCATCTTTATGCCGGAAGCGATCGGATAATTTGCTGGAATGCCAGAGAAGCAGCCTATATGTAATCACTAAGGCATGCACTATTCTCAGCGTCTCCCACCTTGGGCGGTTCGGTGGTGATTTTGATGCCGTTCTGAAGGATGGAGATGGGGAAGTCGGGGTGCGGGCTGGAGCTGAGCCACAGACGGAACTCGGGGTTGGCGCCGCCGTCCTGTATCTCCTCCACCATCTTGTCGAGCTCGGGCATCCAGGAGAGCGAGAGATGACAGTTGGCCAGGAACACCCAGCCGCCGTCCCGTTTACCCATCTCCAGCAGACTGGCGGCGCGGACAGAGGAGAGTTACCGGAGCGGTTACCGACGTAAATTACGTCGGTAACCGACGTAAAGTAATCTCATTTCATGAGTCATGATTTACCGACTTAAATTACTCATTAAAATATGAGCTATGCAAGATTGCAAATACAATTATACCTACAATTTATTCAACACTAGGGGGAAATAAAACATCTGTCAAAATCGCAACCGAAGGTGCTACATTGAATATTTCTCTCGAATCGCATCTGCAAATGTCCGTTATAGGTTCGAGCACCTCAGCCATTGTCATGAGACAGAAGTGGGAGGAGCATTATGCTCTCCTTCGCGTTCACCGTGTGGCGATGGGCGCCTGTCCCTGTCCCAGGCTGAGGCTGTAGAAGCGGTCCATCATCTCGTTCTGCTCGGCCAGCTGGAGCAGAGCCGTGGTCGGGTCTACGCCCGGAGACAGGATGAAGATGAGCGGCGTCTTGGCCGCAGAGTCCTCCAGCTGAAACGGGGGAAGGATGCGTCACTGTCACAATACGAAACAAACTTCATGTAACACCTGATGGTGGCATCAGAGGTATCATTCAGAGTGACGGCAAGTTTGAAACGGTACAAACAGGGGAAATTCACGAGAATCGAAACTGTTAAATTTATATTCAATTCATTGCTATCCATCACCACCACACGTACACAATTTAACGTCATCAACATCAGATGCACATTGTCAGAAAATGATAGCCAACGAGACATCCTTCTATAAAAATTATAGTAGAAGAAAGAATTGTAGAAGCCTTGTATGTAGAAAGCTAGAGCTGCTCTGCCTACAGCCACTGACCACGCTGTGGAAGTCGAGCACGGGCGGCTCGACGAAGCGCTGCCCCAGGTTGTGGATGACGAACGTGGACACACATACGCTGACCCGGTCCGGGCGCAGTGAGCGAACAAAGATCATCCGCTGCAGCTCCGAGCACGACGTGTCCCACTCGCCTGCCGGGAAATCGACCGGTCGACGATTAGTAAAGAACATCGGAGTCCGGAGCGAAATGCATAAAATGATAATAATTGAGAAACTATTTAGATAGCTCCAATTCGGGCATGAACCGTTATCGGTTATCGTTAACCCGCGCCCCACTGGGGGGGGGGGCTATTTATAGCCCCCCCTCCCGTTTTTCTGCAATAACTTCCAAACCGCTTGACGGATCGACGCCAAACTTTCAGTACCTTCGGCTGCATCAATTTGACACCTTGTGTCAAAATTTGAACTTCGTACCTACCATAGGTCGGCCGGAAATGACGTCAGGGTGACGTCATGTTCGTCCGATTTCGACGCAAAACATTGAACCACGGCAATCGCTCCCAAGAGCTCAGTTTTTAAGCTAGATCCAATTTCTTTGCATGAAAGAACTCAGAATCGACCGCGCTATCAAACTGCTATCTCGGATTTTCAAAATTTTGAAAATTTCGAAAATTTTATTTAATAATATTCAAAATTTATATTTTTATATTTTTTCAAAAAGTTTTTGACTTTTCGTAAAAACCGGAACATATGTGACAGAACGCATGATTATGACTAACTCTAGCAAGTTTTAGCTAAATATCTTCAAAAATGGCCAAGTTATACGCATTATTGCAAAAAATTCACAATTATTAATTTTTCAAATCAATTTTTCAGTACGCATTTGGCATCGTACACCAATATAAATGGCACCATCGTGTTCCTGAGCTCAAACTGCATCCAATAGACACCTTTTTTGTTGAAAAATTTCAACTTCAAAATTTGACCTTTTTTGACCTGAAAGTGACCTGACCTAAGCTAAATTCGACTCAAAATGACCTCGAATGACATAGACGACATCAAATTCGAAATCTATGGCCTAAATGGACCATAAAACATGTGTCACGTGACCGACGCATGATATAATATTTTCGTGACCTGTGATGACCTGACCCTGACCTGAAAATCAAAGTACAAGTTTGGTACCCGCAAGGTATCTAGAGCATCTGTTCACGAGTGTGGAAACCAAAAATGAGCCTGATCTGACTTGTAAGACGGCGGCCAGAGCCCAAAATGTGAACAAGCCAAAGTGCTAATAATTTTTACTTTGACCTGACCTGTGACGTCATCGGTGACCTCGAGGTCAATGAAATTAGGTTTCGCTCGACAGTTTTTCCGGGGCTATCAGACGCCGTTTGAATTTTGACGATCGGCCCAGTAGTTTCGGAGTTAGGAGGGGGGGCTATGAATAGCCCCCCCCCCCCCAGTAGGGCGTGTTATACACAGACCCCAGTGGGGCGCGGGTTAAGGCTTCAGTAACACGACTATTTCAAAACATCTAGCGCAGCCTAGCACTCAGCGCTGTCAATATTGTGTTAAGGTAACACGACCGTATGCCTCTTGACGATACTGTCCGAACATCACGTCCACCCCTGTGATACTGACCGGGCAGCGAGGCTCGCTCGGGCTCGGGCGACGTGTACCAGGCGTACCAGTCGCGGTGGCCCTGCTCAAACGACTGAATCACGCCGTGGAAGTTGGCCAGACGCTCCAGCTCGGTAATGTTGTCCCACGCAGAGTCCGACAGCCACTCTGAAAGAAAGAAGCGACAGTGGGACGAAATAAAGCGTAAAAGGGAATTCAAGGACTATGATAGGAATGTTTCATGAGAGATCACACTGAGGACCCTCACTTAAACTTCCACTAATCAAGCACAGACCATGAAACTGACCGGGGCACGGGTTGTCCATCTGCTCCTCCCTGTCGAGCACGACTCCACCCTTGAGGAAGAACAGGTACTCGTCCGTGTTGACGGCCGACTGGCTCTCCAGCATCTTGATGCACATGTGGAAGGAGAAGAGCAGCTTGTGCCGCTCGAACAGGCCGCGGCAGGCGTACCTGAAAACGACGCAACACAGACCCTGAACAACGGCGTTTGTATCACTGGACAATGCACATCATGAATAGAGCTTTAAAAAGGACGTCAAATGTTTTGCGGCAAAAGACGGTCATTCCACCATTACGTTAACACACAAATAAGCCTGACGCGCATATATGATAGCCTTCACTCACTTGTACACGGCGTAGGTGTGATAGTCGTTCATGTTCTGTATGCGGTTCTCCAGCTTTGGGCTCCTCTGCGCCTTATCGATGGAGTGGGTGAACAGATCTACGTAGGCGTCCAGCGAGAACTGGTACATCGGGTCGATCTTGCCCAGGTCGGTCAGCACGAAGAACAGGATCGAGGCGCGCCGCGCGCACGGACGATACGCCTGTCAACGATGATACCAACGTCAGTCGTTAAGAGGAGGGCCGAGAACCGTGTTAGGACGGACAACTGGCATAGGAGGAGTCTAACTAGACACTGAAGTAAGTCCAACCACTCATGAAAATGAGAAATCGTCTTTCGGGCCACGGGGATGAACAATACAGCTTCTGCATGAATGGGCGAGCAATTCGACAAGCAGTTTCACACTGTGGTAGCCACTCCATCCAGTTGCGTTCCTGAAACCCCACATTTCCCCACCTCCCGAGCGGCGTCGATCTTGATCTCTGTCTCCTCGGCGGTCTCCAGCTGTTCGGTGACGTCGGCCGAGGTGGTCTTGCACGACTGTAGCGTCACCACCAGAGCCTCGTCCTCCAGCAGCGAACCCTCCGTCTTCAGCAGTCTGTGGGTGACGTGGAGAGTGAGGAGGGAGGAAGATGTGAGAGTTACAGTCTCTGGAAAACTACGATCCCTTCTGCTAACCAAGTGGCATCGGTGTACAACAGATAAACAACACACAAGTTCTGATGCTCATGCATGAATGTCATTGCTCCAAATTCCTTTTTCCAAAAAGGATATAAAATTTCACCGCTACCGTTGCCGCCTTTGTCAACCATCCGACCGACCTGAGCACGGCGTCCTCCAGCTCGATGAGCTTCAGTTTGCCGGCGGCGATGTTGGTGACGAGGGCGTCCTTCTGCTCCTCCAGCTCGGGCCGCTCCTTGCGGACCACGATACCCAGCAGCTGCTGCTCCAGACCTGTCCGGAGACGTCACACAATGGAGCATTAGATCTCTAGCGACAACGGATACACGAACGAAGATGATTTCCATGACAACATGACATTTTATATTCTGCAAACTAGATTAAATACCGCACAAGAACAACGTGAAATGCATAAGCCATCACCAAATAATAGACATCGTCCGGATCCCAATAGATGATGCAACATTGCTAGCCTCTCTGGCATCTGTTACTGTAACTACGGATAAGATGGTTCACAGATAACAGTAGTACTACTGTTATATAGTAGTAGTATTACTGTACTACTGTTATCTGTGGATGGTTAGATGGTCTACCGAGCCGGCGTACTACTCACCGTCCTCCTTGACGGTGAAGTTGATGATGGTGGTCTTAGTGGCGATCTCAGGCGGGTAGTGCGGGTTTGACAGCTTGGTGCTGATGTAGAAGCGGAACAGCGGGTTGTACTCCACCTCCTTGTCGCCGATCTTGGTGTACAGAGCGTCACCTGCCGCGGGCAACGACAGCACGTAAGGAATCACATTAGAAAACACTGAGGCACCGCACTCTGATGATTTATATTACAACAACAGTCTCCGACAATCGAATATAAACTCATAAGGATGCGTGCGATCAAGCAGCTTAACTGCAATGCATGTGTGCTAGAAAGAAAACCCAGAGCAGACCAATGCAAGACCAGATCAACCCATGTCACCATACATTTTGCTTGATGAGGCATGGTAGCGAGCTCACCCTGTTTGATGACAGACTTTGTGAGTATGGGGTTGAGCGAGGCATCCAACGTCTCCTGGACGTTCTGTAGCAGCACCGGGTGGCCGAACGTGACGGAGCGCTCCAGCACCGATAGGAAGTTGGTCTGCTGCAGGTCGATCACTTTCAGACCCTGCGGAAACGAGCACGCCGTGTTAGTCCGGAGGCCAAGGGTACGGCGGCGTGATATCAGTTATGCCCATTCATGCCTAAAGCGCTAAATACATGCCAGTGTTATTAATCTATTCTTTTCTGAGCCACGCACAGCATTGTCACTCTAACCTGTTTGTGTTCCATGTTTTTGATCCAGCGCAGGCCCTGCCCCTGCGGGTCGATGAGCAGCGGCCAGCGCTGTCCGCGCGTGGCGATGATGCCGTTCTCCACGCTGAACGGGTTGGACGGCAGGCCCTGGATGTTCCAGTCGCGTACCACCGTCGGCTTGGCCAGGAACTCGCACAGCTCGAACGTCGGCGAGCAGGGCACCAGCTTCCCGCGCACCTGGGCACGGACGGACAACGACGGTCACTTACTCAGGCACTGTCCGACTCTACCGTATTTTTGGTATCGAACAAAGATATAGCATCGAAACGACGAACACTACTTGCCATTAACACAGAATGATGCTGAATAAAACACAACATTACGCAATAAAGTTCCCACAATCTCAGACCCACCTCCGGTAACCAAATGCTCGAGACGATCTCGTCCCGGTAGTTGGACGTAAACGGTCCCATATAGGAGACAAAGGCGGCAGCGATCAGGCAGTCCCCGACCAGGTAGCCAAAGTTTTCGTCCAAGTCCTTCACGGTCTGTGTCCAGCGGACCTTCTCGCCGGCCAGGCCGCTGACGATCTTGGCCGCGCGGTCCAACTTCAGCTCCAGGCTCTCCGCCTAGCATCGAGGAACAGAATAGCATGAGCGTCTTTGTACATATTGAAACATCAAAGACACGCGTCAAACTGTGGTATAGTCTACTACAGAATGATGTTCCACTCCTCAGAAGCTATCAGTTGACCGGAGAGCTAAGTAGTGCCGTTTATCACACAATTAAGCGTGTCGATTGTGAGCATTGGGACAAAGCTATAATTTGTGAACTCAGCCCGTGTGATTCGGCACAGCCTACCACTCCAGGCAAATAATTGCCCTGTGAAAAGTGGAACATCATTCTGTAGTCGACTATACATACGTTCTGTTCTGTTACTTTATTGGTCTAATCCTCTGGTGACGAACCTTGATCCTGAGCTCCTCCTTCTGCGCCAGCTTCTCGTTGTACTCGGTCTGCAGCTTTGCCAGCCGCTCGCTGAGCTCCTGCAGCTTCGCCTTAGCGTCTGCCAGGTTCTTCTGCTTCTCGGCTAGGATACGCTCAGCCGACATCAGACGCATCTTCTTCGGCTCCACCACCCTGACAGCGTGGTCAAAACACAGTAGATGAGGAATCCCAATGTCTGCCTTTCCAGATTCCAACATACGTTCATTTTTACCAAAGAGATTCTAATGTCATCCACATGTTCCAGGAGAGCAACAGTCCCCCACTAACCTGTAGACGCGTCCGTACGACTCGATGGCTCGTACCCACAGACAGAGCGACTTGGCAGCCAGCGACTGTTTTCCGACCATGTCCGGGTCAAAGTCGGCCTGCACCACGTATCCGCCGACCTTCTTCAGCGTCTTGTCGCTGATGTGGTCCTTGTCGAAGTCACGCAGCTGGAAACGACGGGGAAGAAGAATGAATGAGTACCTACGTAAATGTACGTCTGGTAAATATTGTACAGATGGCGACTGGTGGGCATGGCTGACAATCAGCACAATAGAGAGTCAAAGACTACATAAAGCACATGTCTCAAATTTGGCAGCCACATGGTGCTGGTAATCGATCGAACAAGAGTTAACATTGCAACCGACCTGTGTGATGAAGTTCGGGTCTCCCAGCTGTCGTTTCGCCTCTGCCCAGGTGGGTTCGACGCACTTCAGAAGCATCACTGCCTCCATGACCTTCTCTACCAGCGGCGGAGGTCGGGCGTACGACTTGATCTCGTTCAGGTCCCGCTTCGAGAGGGCGTCCAGTGCCTGTAAGGATCAAGAAAAATGTCGCGGTACAGTATAATAGGCAATGGGGGTAGTTAAGACTATCAGACAGCATGCCACTTGTGATGTTAATTTGCATGCAGTACACATCACAATGAATGGAGCTCGACTGTTAAACTATATCGGCGAAGTCTGCTAGCCCCCGTGTCGCTTATCTGACCAAAAGTCTCCCTCCGTCTCGGAAGTGCGTCACTGCGGTGCGGTCTTGTTACTTACCCTGACGGCCTCTTCCAGGACGGGCAGCACCTCCTCCAGCTCTGCCAGAGCCACCTCGGCCATGGCCTTACACTGCAGCTCCTCCTCGGCAATCTTTTGAGACCTGATAGAGCGCACAGATGGATATGGCTTTAAACGATTTTGTCGAGCTTCGGTCTTTGATAATGGTAGCAAATGACAATCGGCACCCAAAGATACCTGTCTTTAGATATCTGCTACGACCTATGAAAGGTCAAACTTCGTGCCCCCTGAAGCCATCGAAGTGGACCGAGTAGCTCTCAGGACGTTCGCCTTACCTGAGCTGGACGGAGCGCTGCTGTTCGTCGGCCTCCCGGGTCTGTTGGACAATGATGACCAGGTACTCTTCGCACTGCTGCTGGAACTCGGCCACTGCCAAGTGGGACACACGGCACGCATAGACACGAAGAGCTCAGATAGTGTCAATGCGTGTCAAGTACATCTGAGGCTAATGGTACACAAACTCGCTTATAGTTTGCATGGTGTTTGTCATAGGGGTTTCCTCCGTAGACCAGACAGAACTCAAAGGATTCGCAAAGCCAACAGCATTATTCGATCTCATGGTTTCATGTCTTCACTGACCTTTTCCTTTGGCGATTTCCAGTTCAACGGACATGGATTCGACTTTGACACTGGTCTCGTCAATCTTGAACAGACCATTCCTCAGCTTGTCAGCGGCTTCTCCCAGTTCCTTGCGCTTCTCGCCCAGTAGACTGAGGAAACACAAGGTCAAACACAGAAATGCGTTCTGATCGTGCCATTGGAGAACATATTACTATTCATCCAGCTCGTACGTTTAGGGAGACAAAATTCAATAGGCCACCAAGGTTTCCGATCATATTCTGGTCATTGAGCAGGCCTTTCTAATCGCCTGTATTCACTCACTGTTTGTAGCCGGCCACCAGCTGCAGGTAGCTGGTGGAGGTGACGTAGTTGTGTCGCCGCACCTCGGCCAGCATCCGAGCCGAGTAGTTGGACACGGAGCGGTGAATTACGGAGAACGTGTGAGCCACAGCAGCCTGCAGCTCGTCCTGCATGAGAACAACGCTATTTAGGTATGAAGTATCGAGCCATGAAGCATCGTGAATCAACGGAAAACAATTCTTATTTGCATTCTAGTATGAAATACTACCACAGTATTTGCCAAACAGCCAAAGAGAAAGCCCTCGAATTAATTTAATGAAGCTGGCCGGCTTACGTGAACACTGAACATACCTTCAATAGTTCCGTATCGGCGCCTAGGTTTAGGTCGATGCCTTCCAAATACCTCTCGGCTACTTCCATCAGAGCTTCTTGTGGCCAATCTCCGAACCAGTCAATCGTGGAGCAGTTGACCAGGCCAGGGTACATGCGAATACGGTTCCTGTGGTATTCGGAGATGGTGAGTCACAAGTGGACACTGAACGGAGCGACAGTCCGGAAACGACAAGCTTGGTAACTTCCTCTACCGTTGCTTGATGTATTTAGGGCACTAATGCGTCTGCTGGTTTAGCAATATTTAATCAGTACAGGCGAAATCCTACGACGATAGATGACGTTTAGCACCAACCTGAAGGCGTCTCCGACGGGGCTCATACACACGCAGAGGTGGAGATTTGACCTGACTCGGTCCAAAAGCAGGCCGTACAGGTTCTCTGGCGTCTCAGGGATACCCTCCCTAGCCGCCACCGGCTGTAGTGTGTTGCGTATCTGACAAAAAAAAAAAAAAAAATCACATGTCAGTGGAGAATCTTATGCACACAACTACTTGCAACTGAAACTGCAATTAAATCGAAGCTGGTTGTTTAATGACGTAAAAATACTACATTTGAATAAACCCTAACGTAAGCAGGACGGATGATTTTTGGCGTCCAGCGTGGGACTTCACCGGGCTCTGGTGTCTATAAATAGCAATGTGTAATACCCACCTCTTCGAGCTCCTCCGGTTTGTAGAGGTTTGGCACTTCCCCGCTGCTTAGGATGTTGTTGATATCTTCAAGGAACGTTTCCTCCGTGACCTAAGAGAAGAAAATGAGCTTAAAACATTCGATCCTCAATGGTCAGCTGGAGAGCGGCAAATTCTGACAATGATTGAGAGAAGCGAAGTCTGTACCAGTATAAATCAAAGGCTTTGATTCAACTCAACGTCTTGGTACAGATTAACGACATTACAATGTCGAAAAATGTATAGTCACCTGGGCGTCGCTGAAAATGAAGACGGTCGGTTTGTTTTCGAGGCCCGTTGCCCGATAGAGCACCTTGAGATCCTCTCTGAACTCGGGTCGGTGGTAGTGCTTATTGACCTCGATGACGAACACCGAGAGGCCGCAGATGTAGGCGGCCAGTCGGGTCAGCGACTGCCGGCCGCTGCCACCTGATAAGGTAGCTGGAGTTACTTTTGGAGGCACTTGTTGTTTTATCGGATGAAATTACAGAAGACTTTGCTTTGTTATTGGCATCATTTCAAAGACGAAAAGACCAACTGCAGTGGGGACGATGTATGCCATAGAATATAGGTACAGTCACCCTGGTTCCTGGTGTATTGAAACCTTGAACAATACACTCACCGATACCGACGACAAGCATGTTTCCTCTGGGCAGTTTCAGAACGCGCACGGTGCGACAAATGTGGCAGATGGCATCCCTGAAAAGTACTAGTTCCATCGACACAACGCCTGGCGTCGCGTTATACTCCTTCAACTGGTTCTCCATGTACTGCTTCAGCGTGGCAAAGTCCAGGATGTCCTCGTAAATTTCATTAGTGTTGAGGAAGTCACCTATAAGATAAAAGAAATAGTGATTTAGCAATGGCGTAATCAAATGGCCGATTGTCAAGGCGTTTTTAAACTTTAAATCTTTCGACAGGCTGTTATTAAGACCCAAGTATCCCTAAATGACAAACACAGCTTAGCGTACATTTGAGAGAAAAACTATTGTTGACGAATAATTTCAGAAAGTCCAACAAAAGGAGACCAAGAAGAAATTCGTTGCTCATTTATTCTACCGAACATACCAAAGATAGGTGGCTGTTTGCTCGGACAGAGCCCGTGGAATGTCTGGTCGAAGTGCAGTCCAAGTTTTTCTCCCAGCAGTCCCATGAACCAATCCATATCTCTGAAAAGACGCAAGCTACATGAGCACGGTACGCTTATCACTTTGCTTTGCATCTACTGCATCACATAAACACATCACTATTAATAGAAGTTAGCACGTATGTAATAAATGCATAGCATGATCAGCCCACGGAAACAAAACCCTTACTTCGTATCAATGAGCCGGTCGGCGAACACTCTGAGACACTCGTGGATCCAGAGGCGAACGAACGCCGCCTTCGTGTCGCAGTAGTCGCGGTTCGACCGCAGCAGGCCCTGGAACACCTAATGAAATCGGAAGAGTCAATGGTCACGAAAATCAGTCATTCAATGACCTCAAAATAGATTAAATTTTAAGGCGTCATGCACATTCAACACGTAAATACGAATAACACAGGTTCAAACCTTGGAGATGTCTCTCAGGTTGAACACGTAGTGAATCTTGGCTGGGGTCGGCAGCATGTTGGCGATGACGGATTGGTACATCTCGATACTGGCTGTCGTCACCAGCTCACCTGATCAAAACAGAGTCATGGTTGAAATCAATCCCAGACGCACAAAAACAAAACAGCACACCTCCTGCAATTGTATACCACAGGTTCTCATTTAAATTGCCTTTAGTCCATCACAGTCCCCCTCATATAGCCTAGCAGCCTACCGAGCGGCTTCACGTCCTCTGAGAAGTTGGCCAGCTTCTGAGTGATGAGCGTGCCGAAGATGCGTTTGATCTGTGACTCCTGCGGGAAGGTCATGTTGACCAGATTGAACTTGGACTGGAGCCGCTGCGAGATGAAGGAGCGGCCTCCGCCGGGCGGACCCATGGCGCCGACCAGAAGCACGTCCTGTCGACAGGGAAGAGGACCATGACAACAACAGTTAGCACAAAACGTGACAGATAATCGCTCTCCATAACTTTCTTTCCACTTGGTCGTGGCATCGCAAAAGAATATCAATATCTCGACCTTCTTTGGCACCCACCCACCTGCATGTAGAGTGACGACTGTTTGGTGCGGTCGTACCAGAAGCCGTACTGCATCCACTGGCGCAGCAGCTCCAGCGGCGGCTGGGAGCCGTACGTGTCCTTGGCAGGCATGTTCAGGTCGTCCAGGAACACGACAAGGCGCTTACCTGTCAGACAGGGTGAATAATGAGACAAGACTGCTCTCAACTCTACATAGAATCGCAAAAGTCAGCCACCGAGACTCCTCAGTCCTTACCTCCCTGCGGGACGTAGACGTTCTTGGTGCGTTTCTCCATGCGGCTCTCGATGATGGCCTGCACGTTGTTGGATGTGGTCTGCGCCGACATGTTCACCGGCAGCACCGTGTACTTGTTGACATCCATCTGGGCTAGCACGCTGCTCGCCAGCGAACTCTTCCCTGTCAGTTATAAAACGGTGTCAGGAAACGGATGCGAACTACCTCCAATGATGTCACAAAATACAAGTTTTGCTTAAGATTGAGCGAAAATTTATCAAAAAAAAAAAAAAAAATCGTACTTGCAAAATAAGTGCTCCACCAGCAAACAACAAGAATGTAACATTTGGGTTGTCCTAAACACAAAGCTGTGCCGTGTGCGTGATCCAGTGTTACATGCAACTGTCGGCGTTTTGTCCGCTATAGTATTGTTAGTCGACACACCTGTGCCGACGGGTCCGACCAGCATCGCCGGGAACTCGTGCGAGATCAGCGTCCGTAGGATGTACTCGTACCGCACTGTGTCCACGGTCGGCACCAGGATCTTGTAGAACGGCACGCTGGCGAATAAAACTACTGTCACCTGCTGTGCATTGATGCACGTTTCTCATGACGCGTACGGTCGCAAACGGGCCACCTATAACGGCAAACGACACAAACCTTTCGTATAGCAGAATCACGTCAATAACACGCACCACACGACTGCCAGACAAAACCACACACAAACACTATCAGAGGAAACAAGAGAGACAAATGACACGTTAAACACATTAGAGGTGATCGGAAAATTTCGTAAGCGATGGTCGTCGATACTGACTTCGGGTTGTACTTCCAGTTGGACTGCAGCTTGCTCTCCCAGGGGCTCCAGCTGCGGTGTTTGTAGTCGACGGCGTACTCGTACACGGTGTCCTTGTTGGGGAACGAGCCCTCCAGTTCGCGCAGGTAGTTGTCGATCTTCTTCCGGCCCTCTTCATCCACCGAAGCGCAGACGGACCACAGCAGCCTGCCGCGAGAGGTGGCCGTTATGAATGGGTTAAGCTGAGCAGATGATGAATGACAAATGGTAGCGGGGTATCCTAGCTCATAAGAACCAATAAATTATGTGCCACTCACGAGAATAGGAACCACAGCTTGGAGCAGGTGAGGAACGCGTCCATGTCGCTCGGGTCCACGCCGAACTCCTTCGTGCACAGGCAGTCAAGCAGACGACATAGAGAGATGACGCCGTTCAACTCCACAATCGGCATCAGCTCCTTACAGTTCTTCCGCTTGAATTCCAACATGTCCTCCAGGAACTTGTCGAATAGCTTTCGCAGCTGTAAAGAAAACAAGTTACGATAAGTTCTGACCTAAAACTAAGCATAAAATTAACACTACGAGACAACCACCGAAAATTCTTATGCTCAACGCCATGGTCCTGCGTCTTGCGATGTTACATTCTCGTCTCACCTCGTCGGCGGTCTGTTTGCACTGGACCGTCTGCAGCCACGAGTCGACATACGGCTGCCAGCCGATCGCCTTGTAGTCGGTGTACACCATACCAGCCCGGGAGACGGTGGCAGGAGAGGCCTCGTCCAGGTCCTGCACCTCGAACAGCAGAGACACCTACACCACGGAACTACAGTCAGTCACGGCTGTCGAGGGGGCGGATACGGATATAGCACACTAATCCGACTACCACAACGTATGCAAGTGTGGAACACACTCGAGACCTTCTTAACTATCCGATGCCTCAGCATTTTGTGGCCAGCCCTTTCAAGTAAGGTAAATTTTCGCAAGATTTAAATTATAAATACACTTCACTCTTTATCTTTTTTCAGCCCTCATTCATCAACCATAGGCTTGGACTGCGTTCCTGTGTGCATCTCACCTGAGCGGGCAGGGCGATACGCTCCGAGTTGATGAGCGTCAGCACCTTGTTGTCGTCCATCACAGAGTTCATGTTCTCGATCCAGACGGCGTCCACTGGGCCGTCGAATAAGATCCACTTCTGGTCCGGTGTCTCGTCTGAAGGATGGGAGCAAATTACACCAGATTTACAGTTGAATTCGGAACTAGGTGAAATGGTGCAGCCAGTTTAATTTATTTTTGACTTGACTTGATTTAATCACGGAAGCTTCATGGTCGCCTTTTCTGGACAGCATCAAACATTCTGTACAATCAAATTGAGCTATTACCTGCACATGTGACCCTCATAATGGCCGAGAGCACACCGTCCTTCCAGTCGCCGGAGCCAAGGTCGAATTCACCGTACAGCTCGCCCAGGTTCAGAGCTTTCGGGTTCAGCGCATACTCCTGTCAGGTAAGCACACAGAGAGGTCAATTGTAGGCTAACATAGCATTACCGAAGTTATGAGAACTGAGAAGCGGAAATGACTTCTTGACCACTGTTAGTCAATGGAGACGAACGTCTTCTCGACTTTTGGGGACTTTTCGAACGTCTTTTTCCCCTACCTTTAGAAATCCCAATTTTCCGACGTTATGAAAATAGCATATATCGGTCATCGGTACTCCATCTCAACCATCGCTGCGGCACTGCGTACCTTAACGGCGACGTAGCCCTCCTGGCCTTTGTTGGCCATATCGGTGAGCGCTCGCTGCAGAGTGCGCCAGATGGAGGTTTTCGAGGTGCCTGTCTGACCGACCATCATCACCGAGTGACGGGAGTTCTTCGTCTCGTACAGCTGGATCACCTTGTCCACGATGTAGGGCGTCGCCTGACCGAGGAAGGCTCATCGTAAGCCCCCATTGTCTTCAAGTTTCAAACAAATCCCTATGTCGATTATGAGGGAGTAAATGGATGTTATAGCAAAAGGGATATTAGGATAAGAAGCACCGCATTCTTGGCAATCGTGATTCAAGGGCTTGTAACAGAAAATATTTCGTGCTAAGGTAATAACGCATACCTGAAGTCCGTTTTCCTTCAACTGCTGCCGGATGACATCATACAGCTGCCCGTAGTCGAGCGGCGGCGTCTCCACGCCGGGGAACAGGTCCCTGACAATGCCGGCGAACAGCGGCGAGTCGTCCGACGTCAGCTTCGGCAGGTTCATGTCGTTCATCGCGGTTATCACCACCTAATGATGGTATGAACAAAAACGGAAAGGAGTTAGGACACGATAAAAAAGGCAATCCAACCGATACGCTGCACACTTGGACGGCCACTGCTTGTCCAAATTTCGATTTGAACACATTCCAATGACAAAACTTTGAGCACAGAGCATCAAGTGAAATGTTACATGCATACCTCCTCGTCACCCATCTCAGGGAACATGCGCTTCTTGATGCCAGCGTAGCGCAGCAGACCGATCAGACCTCGCAGACCGAAGTCGTAGTGGCTCTGCTTGCTGAGTTGCCGCGACGCCAGTGTATACAGCGTGAACACCTGAAGACAAGGTCATACACTTGGGTATGTATGTAGATTGTATGTGTGTATGGTATGTAGATTGTAGATGCTGATTGCATATTGAAAACATCAACCACACCTTGCTACTCCCTTTTGAAATCATCTGAGCAATAACATTAGCTAGGATTTAACGTTTTTGCGTAGCATCACAAAAACTACATATGATGGCATAGAGCATCAGTAAATTTACGTACCTTTCTGGCGAGATTCCTAGTGTTGCTGAATCCCTCGCCGAACAGCACGATCTCTGCGATCATGGCCGAGTCAGGGACCACCATGGCGATCGGTCGGAACATGGACTTCAGGTTGTCGGGCAGCTCCGTGCGACCGGCGTAGCCTGCGTGACGATAAGCAAACAATTTTAATCACGTTCGATTTTAAATCTTGTTAGAAAGAAAGCCATAAGTGTTCACCAAGAAGCGCATGCAAACAACAGCAACTTACAATCAATTTGTCTAGATTTCACCACCACTACCAAATGTGTGGCGGCAAAATGACACCAACATGACACCATATAAACAGCTTCAAAATACTCTTCTAACCGGGGTTCATGGTGATGAATATTCCGCACGAGTCGACCAACTTGATCTCGCTGCCCTCGAAGATGAACTGGGTGGCGAGGGTGGAGAGCGCCTGCAGGATGCTGAGGATCTGCTGCGCCACCACCGACAACACCTCGATGTTGATCCGGTTGAACTCGTCAAAGCAGCCCCAGGCACCAGTCTGCGCCAGACCTGTTGATGAATAGCGAATGTGATTTACAAGAGCGTAAACAAGTGACGTCGATTATGCCCCGTAGTTGTGTTTCAATCCAGATGTAATGGCCTATGTAGAGTGTACACACAAAACAGATACACTATAGGCAGCATTCATTGTGATCCAAAACAACAGGCAAAATGGCCAACAACTACCGCAAATTCTTTGCTAACTGCTTATTCATTGATCCCATAATGCTTGTTTTGTAATTTCATTATGATGAACTTCCAAGTGTGCTAAGACGAGTACAATATACCGGAGAACATTTTGCCCATGCTCTTGTAGTCGAGTCCCTCGGAGCAGTTGAGTACGATGACGAACACAGCCATGGCCTTTCCCAGGTCCTTGACGGTTTCCGTTTTACCGGTGCCGGCCGGGCCCTTCGGACTGCCGCCTCGGTGTAGGTGCAGTGCACTTGTGAGGGTCATGTAGCACCTGACGAAAGCAAGAAGTATCAAATGAAAAGCCCTGCGGCTATGTAAGACAGCTTTCCTTCGTGACGATTTACATTTTCAACTTAATTTGCACATTAATTAGTAACCTCGATATAACTACGCCAGTGGCAATAAGATACAACAACCCTAAAATATATTTCTATACCCCACTCTCGTTTTCACCTGTCGGTGAGCGGTGTGATGACCAGGCGGCCCGAGTTGCCCAGGTACTCGTAGCCATAGAAGAACTGTGTGTTTGTCTGCCGGATCACACAGTCCTCCTCGTCTTTGTCCCAGTAGAGCCGCAGCTGGGACAGCCACTCGAACGAGTTGACGTCGTTCACACCTGTTGGATAGCGGAAAATACAGGCAGTCAGTCTGGAAAGCTGAAGTAACACGGAACTCAAATACAGGATATATGTGAAGAAAAAATGCTACTGCCATGAACTGGATTGAAAGAAACCATAAGGAAGCACAACAAAACTCGAGGTGCGAGCTTATACTAGTACAATAAGTACAATAAAAGATTATATTCTTGATTGTGTAATGTTGCGCTGGAAACAAAGCGAAACAGATATTAACGGAAATCATGTTCTAGGCTTCAATGTCACGCACCGGCCTTGATGAGCTTCTCGATGACATCACGAGCGTGCACCTCGATGGTGACCAGAGCCACGATCTTCATACGCTGCAGCTTGGTCAAGTTGGAGCGGATCGCTTCGGAGAACTTATTCAGCATGTTCATCATCTTCTTGCGGAAGGACTTGAGTGGTTTCTTCTCGCCGAGGTCCTTCACCAGCAGCAGGGACCGGGTTGTGTCGACTGTCCACTGGATCTAAAAAGATGCAAAATGTCCGGTAATGATACATGTCACAGTCCAACTCGTGCTATGGATGCACATCGCTGCCGGGTACGTCGGTCGCGACATAGTCCGGGCACAACTCCAAGAAAGCGATCTTATAGACAGTCTGAAGATGGTTTTGGCAAGCAACTGTCAGGCCTCGCGGCGCCTGTTAAGACTACTAACCTCCTGAGTGCTGATTAACTGTGTGTGTGTGTGTGTGGGGGGGGGGCATGTATCTTTTTGTCGCATGGCGATGCTGAATTAACAATAATAATAATAATAATAATTTATCACATGTGCTCAGTAAGCGGCATCGGTCTTCAACTAGGTATGAAGAAGCTGAAGAAATTTGCACAAATCGTGCTCCTATACGATCAGCAGAGTAAACCGGCGCCTCTGAACAATTCAATGAAGTTAGCCTTTTATTTACCTGACTAGAAGTGATGCATAGCTGTCCCGGCCAGTCCTTGATCCACCGATCTCTTTTGCTGAGATTTTTCTTCAGCGCGGCGAGACATTTCTGCAGTACGTTACGTAGCGTTTCCTGTGAATAGGAGGAATTTCAGTTCGCTAGCCGTTTAGATATACAGCGTTGCGTTTTCATTATTCTGTTACTGGACATTGAATGTCTTCCCAGCCAACACTTCTTACCTGCATAGCGTTTTCCAGATCTGCGAGCCATGCCTCGACCGGCCCATCCAGGCTCACTGGGTGAGTGAAGTCAACCTCCTCGCCTTCACCAGATACCATTGTCGACGCCTCAAGCCGGTGGAAGGCACTCTGGGAGAGAAAACATGCGCACGTGAAAAGAGAAGGATAAATGTTAATTGCATCATTTACGAGTACGTGCAATATTGAGTGATGATTCGTTACCATTTCACAAGAAAGCAAACTTCAGTCATATTAACTGTGTAGTGAGTATGGCGTTTTGATGACAACCAGCCTGTTGGCTCCGGGAGTCCCTCATTCTTTCCCATACCTATTAAAATTTCCTCTTACCTTGACCATTTTGACTTTCGCCATGTTATCGAAGAGCTTCTTCAGATGTGGCTGAACAGCCTCTGGGTTTTTGCTCTGGCCAAGGATCTCCAAAAGATCGTCATTGGAGATGAAGTAGAACCTCGGGAAAGCCTGACGCTTGGTTTCGAGGTACATCTCAAGTCGCTTCTGGATCTCTTCCAGGCGGACGTTCATGCTGGATAACTCTTTCAGAAGGCCTAAAATATTGCCAGGTAGTGAAGCGTGTGTTGGCACAACACGAACAGTACCAGAGAAGTTATCGATGATGCATTAGAAATGACGTAAATAATAGAAAGCACATGCAATATTCCCGATACTTTCGACGCCAACAAGTAGATTAACACACTTAAACGCCGATTCGCTATGGCTTGAAAAGGAAAGAAACGTGGATGCTTTGGTACGTTCATCCACTGACAACTGCACAGCCGTAGAGACCTTCTTGACGTCCATACCTTTCTTGTGAGTTGCCCGGAGAATGAGCGTGTCAATCTTCATGACAACGAGCATGCTCTGCCACGTATTGTCGATGATACCGAAGTCGGTCGTTTCCCGCGGCATTTGCTTGCGAATGTCGTCTGCCAAGAAGATGTTCTGAAAGAAAGAAACGACCACTTCGTTGTTGACAAAAACGGAACATGTATCTTTCGTGTATTCGAAACATTTACTCTTTAGCGATGGTTGATCAAAACTCAAATGTAGCTTTCTTATCAATCCTCAATTCAAGGAGCTGAGGTTCTGAAACGATTCGTGTATGTAGATTAGCGACTTTTCCAAGCAAGACAGCCGTTATTGTTTGCTCGTTCATACCTCCATATACATCCACTGCTTCTGCACCGAGAGGATGGCGTCGATGACCTCGTAGACGACGGTGAGTGTCTTTTCCCACCACTTCACTTCTTCTCGGAAAGGCTCCACAAATCTGTCCAGCAAAAGAGCAAAGATGTGTAGTACTAAAAATATAATAAGTAAAAATGAAGTTTAAACACTCACACGAATATTGGTTACGAACAATATATAGTGCAGTCCAAAACTGTACACAGTAGAGGCGGATTGCTCACCTGGATGCCTTCATGGTCTGCAGTCCGACCTGGTTGTCCTCCAGCACCTGGAATAGGTCGTCGGGCACGCGGCAGCGCAGGCCGCGGCCGTCCTTGTACGGCAGGATCTCCATCTCCATCTCGTCCCAGGTCGACTTCATCTTCATCAGCATCTGCAACACGTTTCACACGATGTTAGCCTCCTTAATGACTTACAGACATGCCAAATTGAGATTGCCCTGCAGTTTATAGCTGTCATCAAAGAAATTACAAACTGAGCGTCGATTAAATGAAGTCGTCCATACCTTTTCGATGGTCATCTCCTTAGTGGCCGACTGAGAGATGTTGTGAATCTCTTCAGAGTACTGGTTCATGCCCCACTCGAAGATGCTGTCCATTGTCAGGTCAGTGTCCTCGTTGAACTCCCTGTCACAGACCACGGGTAAAGAGGAAATAAACGATCAATACAATGCCAGTCTCTACATCGCTAAGCACATCGGCTAACTGTGAGCAAAAGCATCAGTTTCAATCACCTCTTCTTGGCCACCCCTATATTTAATGACATATGGTTACATGCTTCACGACCATGATCATATGTATGACAATTCACCATGAACATACTGCATGGCCACCAGTCACCGCCGAGCACTTTTGTACCAGCGAGTCTGGGCCAGCCCGTCAGCCGTACCTGCCAATGAGGGCTCTGATCTCCTCCCAGTGTCGGGTGCGCAGCGCCACGTTCTTCAGGTCCATGATGAGCGGCAGCGCCTTGCGGAAGGCGTCTACCTGCGTTTTCGTCTGCTCGATGATGTCCCAGCCGTTATCACGATACTCTTTCAGTTGCTTGGTCAGGCGCTTGTGCAGACTGGTGGCCTATATGGGAGAAAAAGGGATAAATAAAGTTCATTCGGCCAGTCATTTTGAAACGAAACCGTTGTCCAATGTAGATGCACAACAATTCGTTGGATGAAATGCATGATTTCTGCATCATAGTCCATAGCAGTCGACTAGTTAATTAAACGTACCAACTTTATCACTATATCTCCGATATATGAATTGTGAATGCATCAAAAATGTCGTACCTGAGAGTCGAGCTCGATGGTGTCGAGTTCCTGGAATCGATGTCCTTTCCATTCGATCCAGGACTGTTCCCATTCTGCCGTCAGCGCCCAGACTGAGTCGATGGCATCGAGGTCCTGCCGACAGGCAAATGCAAGCAAGTGATTTACGACTACCATGGCTTCATACATATAAATTCATTAGTCGCTTAGCTCAGAGTAGTGAAAGACTACGGAAAAAGTTTTCAGCCACGGACAAGGTATTGCTATTGAAGCTTTATCTACTCAGTTTCTCCGAATCGGTAGTCTATGTGACATAGCAGCTTTTCGTGAGGCACTTCAGCAGACATGAACGCAGAATTAGGCTTCGGACCCACAAGTCCGCACCGTTTCAAAGCGTTTCAAGTCCTTGGATAGCGGATGCTCAATGTTGAAGATCTTCAGTCCTGTCTTGATAATCTGATCTTTCTCCTTCAGCAGAGCAGCCTGGTTGCGGTATTCGTTGATGTTAGCCCGGGCCGCTGAAAAATGTCATCATATTCAAACGATAACCTAAGTATCATCACCTTCAACGTCACAACCTTGTGATGTGTCAAGACCTACATACCCGCATTCAATCCTATGCTTCCATTACGAACGCAGGCAAGTTGGTTGTATTACTCGACTTACTGAATGCGATCGTTGTTATACGCTTACCTTCTACATCCCAAGCGTTGGTGAAAGGACCCTTTTGTTTGAAGTCGTCGATCAGGTTAGTGATACCCTTCTTGAGATCGTTTGCATCCGCCAGTAGACCTGAGAAAGGAAGGACTGTATTAAGAACAGGAACATGGATGCATAACAATTTCACCAAGAAGCATCCTACGCTCAGTATACATGCGTAGTGAACTATAACCAAACGGCTATCAGTATTCAACGTTCGTCAACACAACTCGATAAATAAATGCGTTTTTGCCGAACGGCATCCCGGTGCTGTGAACATCCCAAGTGCATTGCTCACCGGTTCTAAACCTGTCCTTTTGCGCCTCCAGTGTCTCGGTGGTTTCCACCAGAAGGGCGCAGTATGCCTCCCACACCGGGGGAAGACGATGGAGGTCGTCCAGCACAGAGTCCTCTACAGTCACCTCGTACTTCTCTAGAATACGTAGGAAACTTCGTCATTAGGATAATCAAGTGTAGGGCATATATTTTGGATGGTTTTCATCGTGAGGTGGGCCGTAAAATTTTCTTCACACAACGCTGCTTATCCTTAGATGCATGTATCCCACAGGAAAAAGTATTTCAATGACTCCCGCCGGCCTTGCGGACGCCACAGCGGCACAAATCTCACCGAGTACAACAAACTGTTCCTCCATGACGGGGAAGCTGGCCTCCTGCTCGGGCTGCTCGCGTAACAGTCGCTCATGGAGGTTGATGCTGGTCTGCAGTTCGTCCAATGTTTGCGGCTCGTACTTCATCCTGGGAGCAGATCAAACCATAAACCACGAAATACCGCCACGAAGCATCTAAAAAAGCATAATTAAACGTATCCTCATAACCACAAACGAGGTTTGTAAAAGCAGGCTGACAGCAAAAAATGAACGCCCTGCGGGCGACTCCATTGCTAGTCCCCGAGACCCGAGGTCGCTCGGTACTCCGATCTTTTCTCCGGCTGTGGCAGCGTCCCGCTCTCACCCGGCAGTATTATCAGTGACGTAGCGGTGCACCTCGGTGAGCCGGTCGGAGGCGATCCGCAGCAGCAGCTGGGTCAGCTTCAGCTGCCACTCGGTGCAGTGGCTGACGATCGACTGCTTCAGACCGGCGCTGTCCAACATGGTGAACTGGCTGCCCACGATAGTGTCCTGCATCTGCACGTTGTTGGCCACCTCAGAATATCTGGGGAGGATTAGGTGACGGTTGGGTGGTGACTGGTGATCCTGTCCGGCGCTCACAGATTACGAAGCAAACGGTTTAACTCAAGCATGCATTCCTATATTGTTAATACCTACTTATGCTCTCTAGCATTCGAGGGAACAACTTTTAGGGGATTTACAAATTTTCACTATACATTTTAGGGATCAACTTATTTCAGAACCGTCTTCACTTTGAAATTCGAAGAAAGACGTCAAATAATCAAAACATGGAAGCGAAATGTTATGAAAGGCTTCTTGATACTTCCTTGCTCAAACAAACACCTAAGGTTTGAAAATGTGAACAGAAATCAGGCGCCAGCAAATGCTACAACATAAACACCAATCCACACCCAATCTTCACACCACAAAATTTGAAATGAAATCCCGCCACAGCCAGCCAGCCAGCTATAACACCAGTCATTTACTCAAATTCTCCAAAGACGTGCCGATCGACAGTGGAAAATCCGAAACGGCAATCAAGCACCATGTTATATAGGCGGCCCACATAATGCACATCTCTAGGGACCAAATTATTTGCCGCCGAAACACATACCTACTAAGTAACATTTGCAAAGCGTTAATGGTGTCCGGATAGCTATTTCATTGCCAATGAAACGTAGTCACATCAAACAACGCTGAAAAAAATCGAGAGTCGGGCAGTAGAGACGCTGCGGACGCGACACGTCGAGGCGTATTAGCCAGGACGAAGCAGCCGAGACAAGGCACGATGCGCGCCTCATGGTCTCTGCTGCTGCTGCTGCTGCTGCTGCTGCTGCTGCTGCTGTTGACGCTGCCAGTGAACCTGGCCGTAATGATACATTAAATACCCACATTTGAGAAGTAGAAATTGCAAAAAGAAACGTTGCGATCAAATAACCCAACAACCTGGGTAGTGTTGCAACAACTAACAACAAAACTCAGCCAGCATTGCACACTAAAAAAAAAATATTTAACCCGCGCCGGGCCGTGGGGTGTCTGAACCCCTCCCACCGTCAACTCGGCTCCTGGGCCATAGCGACACGCGGTAAGCGGCATTCAGAAGAGCGTCACAAATAATGACGGAAACACTTTTTTCATTTCATTTTCAATTTTGTCATTTTTGGTCATTTTTGGGGTCAGGTCAAAGGTCAGTTCGCCAGAGGTCATCAAAGGTCAAATTTAGTCTATTTCAACAATTTAGGAAACTGCCAACGGCTAATTCGGACACCAATAGCTACAGCGCCGCAAAAAAAGCGCATTCGATAGCCCTTTTACACACATTTGAGTGTTGCTCACAGATTTGACCTCAGGTCAACGGTTTAGCCTCCAGAGGGCAAAAACTCCAAAAATAGCAGCTTTAAGAACAACGTTTTTCTGCAATAAATTTTGAGTCAAGAGAGTGACGACATTTATTTTGCCAGCATCGTGGTCCTCTCGTCGAGACGCGTCGAATAAACTAATTTTTTTTTAGCCTCAAAACAGCATATTTTCGTCAAATTTCGTCAAATGCGAGTCGTCGGTGTGCCGTCGGTCGGTATGTATGTACGGCCACCCAACGACTGGTCCAGCGGGTTCCTTAGTGAATAAAGAAAGATGTAGCCGTTTCGCTGGTGGCATTTCTCTAAAGAGTCGGCAACTATAATTTAACCATTACAGGTTATTTTAAAAATTTGACCTGAAGTCAAGGCCATGACCTGACCGGAAAGGGTCATGTTGCATATCAGTCGATCCGTATCATCGAGATGAACACATCTGAGGTATTTTCATCGCTCTAGCATGTTTCTATCAAGAGTTATTGACAAAAACTGCTGGGGACCTTTCATGACCTGATATGACCTCAGGAACATAATTGGAGAGGTCACAGATGCTATTTTTCGATTCCGCTTCGCATGTTTACCCGTAACTCAATGTTAGGAGTGTTGGGAATGACGTTCGTCCAAAAGAGACTCTTTCAATTTTTCCCATCGACTTATAATGGAGAGGTCGCAAAATTGACCTGAACTTAGGTCACCGATATCAAAATACGGAGATATAAATTTTGTATTTACTGCTGCTCCTATCGATCGCTGAAAGTTTCAAGGTGATCGTTCAGTCGGTGTAGGTATGAACAGGATTCAAACTTTTTGTGAGGTGAGGTCACTTGACGTGGCCTGTTGACCTGGCCTTGAGAGCCCTGGGTCTGAAATTTTCAAAACATGTGCGGAAAAGATGCATTACTAGGTGTGTAAAAAGCTCGTTTATGAGATATCTGCGAAAAACCGCAACCGCAAAAACGCAAAACCGCAAAAACTGTGTTCAAACACCCCTGGCCCGGCGCGGATTAATATGCTCCTCCCATTTGAAGTCAATTTATTAAATATGTGCTACAACACACAAATACACTGCATTGCTTAAGATTAGTTCATTTTATTCTAATTCATTAAATCATCAACAGGATCCTACACACCAAATGATGAGTTAGGCCATCATTAAATAAAATAAAGGTTCTATCTTGCGATTCTCCAATAAGATCTAAAGTTAACATACTTTCAACGAAATACTTTCATAGCAATACAGCTGTGAGGATGATCACTCAGCCAGTCGTATAACCAGCAAGCTGAGACGGCTTTATCTGACAAATGAAGGGCATCGCCACATAGCACTCCTTGTCGTACGCCCAGCCGGTGTCGCTGTCCAGCAGGAGGCAGTTCTCCAGGGCGTTCAGCTTCTCCGGATCGCGAGTCGGAGTCCACTGGAAGGAGTTGGGTGAGCCATCCATGGAGCGCCAGACATTTTCGACGACAACGTCGGTCAGGCCGACCCAGAACCGGCCGACGGCGCTCTGACTGACGAACGCTACCAGGATCTGCTGGTCGCCCGGTCTGGCCGGGTGTCCGAGGCGCGCGCCGGCCTGCAGCGAGCTGCAGAACTCGTCGGCCGCCTGATGAGACAGCGGCTCGGCCCGGTACGTGAAGCAGGCAGAGTCGAGCTGCAGCCAGCCGGGCGGACAGCCGGACGGCGGGACGGCCGCCGGACGGACGGCCTCGCAGATGGCCGCCACCTCTTCGGTGGGGCCGAGCCGCAGCAGCAGCAGGTCCGGGCGCCGGTCGGGGAAGGTGGCCAGGCAGGTGCCGGCCCCGCCGGAGACGGTCGTTCCGTCCGGCATCTGCGTGCCGTCCGGGTTGGTCCAGGCGCCGGCCACCAGCCGGGCGCCGGTCCACTCGGAGACGGTCGGCCGGCTCCAGTGGTGCATCACAAACGCCAGCTCCAGCCGGCTGCCCACAGAGACGAGCGCCGAGCACGGGTTCTCGGCGGCGCACAACGTCTCGGCGGCCTCGCGCGTCTGCGGCGTGGTGTTGCGCAGGTAGCAGCTGCCGTCGAAGGGCACCCAGCCGGGTCCGCAGAGCGGGGCGACGCCGCCCTCCGTCCGGCGCTGATAGCTGGCCAGCTCCCCGGCGGCCCGCTGGCCCGTCAGCAGACAGTGGTGGCCGCTGGCCAGCAGCTCGCACTGGCCGCCGCCGTAGCGGAAGCCGTCGCAGAAGGTGGACGTCAGGGCGCTGCAGAAGCGGGCGCAGTGCGGCACGGAGGCGGCCCGCACGGAGCGGACCGCCGGACCGCTGAAGGTGATGTTGGGCTGCAGCGTGTACCGGTCCCGGGTGACGGCCAGGCTCGCCGGCAGCGTCAGCAGCAGCAGTTGCAGCAGCAGTGACCAGGCGCACATCGTGCCTAGTCTCGATCAGCTCGATCGGTCCGAGTCGAATAGCCGACCGTGTCGCGAGGTCCGCGACGCCTCGACTGCCCCGAGTGCCGAGCGATTCTGTTGGTTGTGTTCGTCGGCACTATATCTACGTAGCTTTGACGCACTTCAAATGTCACCGCTTTCTCCGCAACCTGGCAGGTAATCTATGCTTTCGCTCAAAATGATATGCTCCCAGTGAAATGTGGGTTATATAAGTAGTGTTGTAGATTGCTGTTTTGACATTGGACTCTTCTATTCCTGGAATGAGTCTGTCTGATGTGTACCTGCACAGTACAATTACAGGGTGGGGACATGCGTTGACTGCTTCAAACAAAGTTAATTTCATTCGTAAATTCAGTCGCTGAACTTTTCCATTTGTGTACTACGGTCATCCGAATCAATAATGGTTGAGCTGCTTTGATCAATAAATCAATAACGTGATATAATTATGATTGATATTTGATTTTCGTCATCAATTGGAGGTCTCGCTCAGAATACAATGTGAGAACGAGTGTTTCACACCTTGAGCCTACACATGGACTTCCTAGAGCATATCAAACATCAACAAACGGTTAAAAGGGGTCGTACATTAAAGCCACGTGGTATTTTGTTACTACGCTCGACACTAATTGTTCGCTCACGTGTAGACAAGACAATACTTACCGTTACGTGATCGGTGATCCGCTGCACTTCAAATTAAACTAACTTGCTAAAATAAGGTCTTGAACACTTGAAACGCTTCGCGGGAAAAATAACTAAATAAGCCACCGCACTACCTACGAGAAACAGGTACTTGCTCCAACTATTCCTGTAGCTCCCGGCGAGGATTATTTGTTGGATTGATAATTAGCATCCATTCTAACGCCCGCTACGACGAAAATCCACCGCTTGCTTTTTAGTCACAGACTTAGTGGCAATGACTCAGCTGACTCAGTCCAATGTCCTCCCGTAATATCCTTATCCCATGACCTTTAACGTTATGACCGTCAGAGTGACCGTTATCTTATTAACCTACGGACGTGAATAGTCTCATATACCTAACCGAAACTGACGAAACGGTCGAATACAAATCGAAAATCGCGTTTCAAGCCCACAGGGGTCTCTTGTGAGACTAGCGGCACCCCTCTCTGCACTGCAGTCTGCACTGCCATGGCCTGAACTCCACACTCCCCCTCCCAGCCCCACCACACCGAACATGCACCCCCAGATTGGGACTGACCTGGCGATGTCGCTGTCGAACGCGGCCACGGTCGGGTTCATCCTGTGGTAGCGCTTGATGAACATGTCCTTGTCCATCTCCCAGATGTCGCGGAACGAGTCCCACGTTTTCAGGTAGTTCTGCAGCTGCGTGGCTGTCACCGCCATTCCTGACACGCAAACGAAGCCGCAACAATTAACATTTGATGCGGTAAATGTTTTGAATAGTTCGTATGCATCATATTATTGCGCATAAACGGCAGACACTTCAACAAGTCCTGATTCAACTACAGACATGGAATTATGTGCACTTACCGTTGATAATAAATTAAACAGCGTAGCTATACTACATAAGCAGCTGCCAGCCATGCATCCTTTTCCCCATCCCTCTCTCTGCCTCTCCTACCTCAAACCCTCCCTTCCTCCCTCCCTTCTCTCCCTCCTCCCTCTCACCATTGTTGATGGCCATCTGGACCTTGTTGGCGTCCTCGTCGGTGAGCAGTATAGAGTTCATGGCCTGCGGCGGGTTCCGGTCCGGGTGTCCCAGCACGCCGGGAATGTGCTCCCACGAGTCGAACTCTGCGGCCAGCTGCTGCAGGTAGCTGCACAGAAACTCGGCCATCTCCGACACACTCGGCTCCAGCTCGATCTGGAGAGGGGGACGGACCACAGCCCGCGGTCGGTTAGACGTGGGTGGGCACTGGGGATTTATGTGTGTGAATGTTAAATGTTGTTAGCTCTCAACCAGCGGCATCTGTACCCCAAATAAAAAAGAGACCCAGACGATAAGTCAGTATGCGAGGAATGGCGCCGGTTTCCACAACAGTTGTCTCATTGAGGCAAGCAAGGATCCCATCAGCTCACCTTGTTGTTTTTGAGCAGCACCTTGACGCCAATGAGCGCCACCGACCCCGACTTGCTGTCCACGTTGACGATCTTGCTGAGCGTCGTCAGAGAGGTGCGTACGTTGTGTTTGATGGACTCGAGGACGGCGATGCTGATCCGGCCCAGGTACTTGCCCCAGTGCTGCAGCACCTGAAAACGCGCCGAAAAACAATGACAAACCGCTGGAGCGCCTGTGAATATACCGACGAACAGCGCCAAATACCTGGACCTTGTCTCAGTCTGCTACAGCACCTGTAAACGCACCAAAACAGTGACAAAGGCCGGCTGTGAATAGTCGCTGCTGATAAGTTTCTGCTGCAGCACCTACAAACGCGCCAGATAAAATTAGTAAACATAACTTTGAAACGCGCCAGACAAACATTTAAAAAACAGTTTGGACTAAGTTCAGTCTGCTGTCAACGCGAAGACAAACAGTGACACACAGCTTCGAGGTTGATTGCAGACTAAGTGCTCTGCTCTACCATTACAGGACAAAATTAGGGACGAGTTGTAGACACACTACAGCTGTGATTGTACTGGGTTCCAAATGTGTTCCCTTGATTGCACGTAAGAGCAAGTTATACCGGCACATAGTCATTACTTCTTCGGCTTGCGATACACATCAAAAGATTTAATTTCGAATGTTTATTTCCCGCCAGTGCGCTTCCACCCGGCGTAATTAGAACTCACCGCCTGCGAGTCGTTTTTGAAGTGCTCGAAGACGTTCGTCAGAATCTCCATAATTTCCGATTGACGGTTTCTCAGCAGCTCCACGACGCTCTTCCTGAAAACGCAAAGCCAAGCTCAAATTGTCTACCTTGGAGTGTATAAATCTATGTATGCTCATTTCTGATAAAAAGAACTCAGCCATAAAAAGTACCTCAAAAACTTATGAACTAAAACGATCACTTAGTTATATTACATAAAACAACCGACTGATCTTGTGCTATATCTGTCGGTCGATACTCGACAGGACGTTGCTACCACGGACTCCCTGTGCGCGACTCGCCTGTGGTCTTCCTGGCTCTGCTGCAGCTCCTCGAACGTGTACACCCGGTTCGTGTCGATGTTGATCAGCCAGGACTCGGCCAGCGACATACACTTCTCGGAGATCAGCTTGTTGGACTCCTTGTAGTGGTTCACGATCGCCTGAACCTGATGAATGAGAAGCCAACAACAGTCATGCGTCCTATAAATCTCCAATGTGTCGTGTCACTGTTATGCCTAGGTTCAGAATCATGCGCCAGATTAAAGTTACAGACTAGAATATAGTGATAAGTGGCATTCAAAATTTAAGGACACGTCACCTGAAAATCCTTAGAGTTCAACATTCCTTTGGCGTAGTAAGCAAAGCAGCCGATTTTCATGATTTTCAGCCAACATTATTAGGCCGACGATACAGCGAAAGTAGGTAGGTAATCAGTGAAGCCTTACCTTGGCGGCTCCGAGTCTCGACTCTTTGATGAAGGACTCGGCGGCGCCCTTGCCCGTCCAGAACAGTTTGCTGAAGCCGGGCGCCAGTTTTCGGCTGAGGAAGTTGATACGGTCCCGGAACAGCAGCCGCTCGTCCGCGGACAGCGCTGTCGGTAAACGGAGGAAATCGGTCGGTCAGAGCCAGTCGGCAGTCACTGGGTTGGTCTGTTTATAATGTAAGCGCATGCCCGAGTGACGATGACTCTTCAAGACAGGTTTAGCTCATCAGTGGGAAATAGCGGATAAAATTCAGACCCTTTCGGAAAGAAAATAACGGCTCTCCCGCCCAAACGTGGCAGTCTTGGCCGAGCGGTTAAGGCGTCAGACTCGAAATCTGATGGGGTCTCCCCGCGCAGGTTCGAATCCTGCAGGCTGCGGCACTGTTTTCTCCCCCCTGTATACTGACAGGCCACGATGTGGTTGAAGTCTTTGCAGAGCTCTCCGACGGCCTCCCGGAGGTGTCTCATCTCCTCCCGTCGCCGGAAGACGTCGTAGCACTGCGGCGGGATCTCCATGTTGAGCCGCTCCCAGTAGTACACCTCCTGGAACAGCTTCAGCAGGTACCTGCACGGGATAGCGCAGGTTCAATACCTTGGCTGATCGGCTGCCGCAACTAACTTTGAATAAATACGGTTGGCGGCACTTTGTCTTTCGGTCTAAAACACAGACCCGACCTTCACGTTATCGCCTTACAAATATCCCACCCAAGTCATATCAGCACATTTAGTAGCCCAGCTGAGCACACTAGCCAGTCAATGTTGGGCTCAACGTAGCCGCCTCACCTGTCAAAGTTGGGCATAATGTAGCCAGCCTCAGTGGTCAAAGTTGGGCTCCTCACCGGTCAAAGTTGGGTTAGTCCTACCAGCCTTACCGGTCAAAGTTGGGCTCGATGTATCCGGCGCGCTCGAGGCTCTTGGTGAGCAGCGGCTGGTCGAGCCGCTGCAGCGGGATCGGCTCCACCGAGCTGGCCCAGTCGCCGTGCGTCTTGGCGATGAAATCGGCCGTGGCCACGCTCAGCTGACGGTGCTGCTCCTTGGTCTCGTCTCCGATACCGATCTTGGGCAGCCACGGCGCCTCGGAGATCGCCTGAGCGGTAAATGGGCGGAGGAGCGCGCATCAGAAAGCGCCATACACGGCATGCTACGTTTGAAATTTAAACCACGGCTGTCTGCAGTCAAATGATACATGGCATGTACATGGCATCATGCGTGAGTCAGCATTCACGAAATAAATGATTGAAGGGGAAGCAGAAAAGAAGTGCTGAAGTCTCGACCAGGCCTGAGTGAAAAATATGTATTTTTGGATCTTTTCGACCTCGCCCTACATCATCTATATGCATCTATCCATCTCCTCACCACAATATATTCTCTCCCCTTCATCAGGACTCACCTCCATGGGCATCTGGATGCGTCTGACCAGTGACATGGCCCAGTGCGCCTGGCCCGCGTAGTAGGGGTAGGTCGGCTCCAGACTGAACGCCTTCTTAGAGAGCTCGCGACGCACCGCCTGTAGCTCGTCGGCGAATATCTCAAACACCTGACGACCGGAGATGAAAGACGGTTTAGCAAGGAAGAGAAGACTTTCGCGACTGATGTACGTAAAATTTAGTACGGTTCATGAAGCTTGGTGAACGGATGGGAATGTCCAATGAATCACTGGTGGCATTTGGTCGTAAATTGGAAGGTTTCTACTTTCTGCAGCAGTGCATGACGTGTTAAGTGCTATATATAACTGTTTTGCACTTTCAAGTAATCAAACCACATGCATTGCAAATATGACAATGTTATTATACGACAGCGACCGCACGGTGGCACATCCCGTTACCTCACCTGGACGGTCTTCATGTCGAATATTCTCCGTATGGTTTCTCGGTTGGCGTAGCGTCGGAAGCAGTCGAGCAGCTCGATGCCCTCGCGGACGGTGCGCACCGTCTCGAAGGACCAGTCGATGATGTTGGACAACATCAGCTCCACGTCCTTCACTCGCATCCGGAACCTGGCGACAGGTGGAGACGTACGGTCAGAGGAAGACCGGCGTCCTTAGAGCAGAATTTCCGAAACCAAACTATGAGAAGCCAGCAGCATACTGTGACGAAACATGTATTCTATTACAAGAACTTATCTAAATAACATCGGTAAATCCCATATTTGTCTAAATATACACAATTACAGCATTCCGTTCGACTCAGACATAGTTACCTCCTACGATGCACCGCCCTTTCTGAACTCATCGAACCACTGTGTGGAACGGTGATCCTATTCACCACATACACTGACTTTCTGAACTCGTTGAGCCACTGGGTGGAGCGGTTGTCACTGATGATCTGCCGGTTGGTGCCGAGGTCGGCCAGCGCTGCACAGAATACCCGCTCCATCTCGCGCATGTTTCGGGCGACGTCCGGGGCGCGGGCGCCGCCGAACAGCGGCAGCGGCACCTGCTCGCCGTCCTCCATCCTGCAGACGGCAGAAACGCAGAGCAATTCAGTCACTTTGAGCGTCCGATGAGTCGTCTTATTTATATCATACATTAATTTCAAAATTTTGCCGAGCGATATCGAAGAAGTCAGAGAATCGCAGGAGCACCCGAATATGCCTGCTGGTCCACAGTCCAATTTCCATGGAGCAGCAGTCTAGCCTACCTGTATGTACCCGGCCTGTGTCCAACATAGCAAATCTAACCGACCTCGCAGGATGCAATCCTTTCTTTACAGTACATGCTACTATTCCCCCCAAAAATGTTTGCTCTCTCACACATCCCCATCCCACCAAAACTCCCTCCCATGCCGTTCCGGCCTCCCCCATACCTGTTGAGGTACATCTGGCAGTTGCAAATCTCGATGAGGTCCTTGCAGCGCTGTGTGAACGCGTCCAGCTCGGCGAATATGGTGGTGACGTCCAGCACCCAGCCCTGCTCCGAACACCGGTGGTGCGTGCGCGCCGTCTGGGACAGCGAGAAACGAGGGGGAAGAGGTTAAATGACTGTTTGCAGATAGGTGACGACGGAAGAAAAGCTAAGGAAATGCATCATGCTTTACAATCGACCGGTCGTCACATCGATCAGCTAAGAAGCGTGGATGCTGACAGTGACGTCACTAAATAACGCGCGTGCTGGCTAAATTCTGAAGCAGAAAAGGGATACGCAGCCTGCAGGGTTCGAACCTGCGCGGGGAAACCCCATCAGATTTCAAATCTGACGCCTTAAGTCTTAACCACTCGGCCAAGACTGCCTGAGTCAGGAGCGGAAAGGCTAAAAAAGAACAAAAGTAATTTTGCTTTTAAAATGTAATTCCTCAGGATTCATGAAGTTATTCCACCTGTTCCTTTAATTCGAATTTTTCTAGCGCCCCATTTCTGACAATCCTCCCCCGTACTTCGGGATGGACAGTCACCGAGAGCCGGATAGAGATGGAGGGTTTCTCCGATGGACTCTTTGTGGGTGACCGTTCGCGCGTGGCCGTGGCATTGCGGCCCCTTTAGACAGTTCTCACAGAAGCGGCTCACCAACCGGTGACTGGCTCGGCCCAATATGTCATTCCTGTCCCCATCTCTGATCTCACAGTTTGTTTTGTTCTGTTGGGTTAGACTCTTTCGGTCTGACAAGACCATTTCAGAGCCAGAAATTTGATAGGAATTATGGGGGCGACATTGGTCTGGGCAGGCAGCCTAGTGAGTCACCAGGGTTGAGCCCGTCCCAAAGGACAGGCCGACCAGCCCCCCCCCCCCCCCCCCCCCAGTACTCAATGCACCCGGCTACGGGTGTGCTCCCTTGGGAGCAGCGGTGCCGCTTCAAGGGAGCAGCCCGCATGAGATAAAGTTGCCTGTCCAGCCCGGACCGAGGGTTACGGCGTGGAGGAGAAACATTTGACTGTCATAAGTGTGGAAATGACGAACGGGTGATCACACGGTTGTATGTTTAGTGTTCATATTAAATGACCACATATCTAACAATGAATGTAATGCCGACTCAATCGGCTGGGGCACACAAATTGACGTCCGATTTCAACGACGTTCACTGGTCAAATTTTGCTCAAAACGAAACTGCCGCAGCCTGCAGGATTCGAACCTGCGCGGGGAGACCCCATCAGATTTCGAGTCTGACGCCTTAACCACTCGGCCAAGACTGCCTTATGAGACCCCCCGGCCCCCCACCCCCACCCACGGGCATGTCAATATAAAAACACATTGAAAATAGACAGGACATTTCTCCCACACTCCGCACCTTCTTGTAGATGTTTTTCCAGGCCACCGAGCAGTCGATGCACTGCTCCAGGGTCTGTATGGAGGACCGGCACCGGCCGCCGAAGATGCCCTCGATGGAGATGACCCGCTGACACAGGTTGATGACCTCTGTACTGACCCGGCGCAGCATGCCCGTCACACGCTCCCTGGGCGACACAGAAGATCGGTATGTCAACAGCCACATCGACTGTAATTACCACCTCCGTGTCTTAAAAAGAAACCTATCAAAAACATCCACCAGTTATGAAAGTGTCTGATAACGGAAGTGTTTCGAAGGCGACCCCGGTCACTGCGCTGTGAAGTATGTATCGCTACACCCCCGAGTACGTCTCACCGAGTGTTGTAGTAGGGAGAGTTGATCCAGATGACGCGTATCCTGTTGAGGACGTCCTGCAGCAGACCGGGAATCTCCACCGGACCCGACTTCCGCAGCTGTTCGCACGGACCCTGCAGGATGCTCAGGTAGTGCTTGTTGCTGAAACGGCGCAGGTGTGGAAGCGCAGCGAAGATTAGTGAGCAATGAGCATTAGGAATAGAGAGCAAGTACGATGAATACGTAACAACAGAAAGTAACTACAAATCAATTAAACGTAGTCAAGATGACACGGAAATTGACAACGGAATACATATCAAATATGCAATATGATTCACGTATGACGGTCACCCAATCGTTCCCTTGGAGAAGCAAGCTCGTGAGTCATTCATGGTTACACGCTTCAATACATCCAAAGTCCACCACACCCCGTCTCTCAGTCACGGTACCCGCTGCCCTACCTCTCGGCCTGTTCGGAGCCGTCCTGGATCTCGTGCGCCAGTCGGCTGAAGCGACTCAGGTAGGAGGACTTGGCACAGTGGAGCACTTCGCTCATTCTCGTCACCACCGGGCTGTCCAGCTGCACCTTCACACCCGACAGGTCCTTACCTGCGTAACGGGTCGGAGAGGTATACGGCATGAAGCATGAAGTGCGATAGGTATGCGCAATAAACTGGAGTCGGCTTTTGTGGTGGCCTTATTTAGTTGAGCGCATATTATATCGGTTCGATAAGTTAGTGGAAAAACCTCGCTAACGTTATGATGTCGCGCAAGGCCATCAACTTTCGCAAATATTTTGGATGCTTACGGATACAATAAATAATGAAAACAGCATAGGATCGCGCAGCTCGGCCATTCCCACACACAAATAAAACTAGCATAAGGCGACTTTCCGATTTAAGCCCGAGCTCACGCACATCGGTCGTTCCAGAAGTTGATTTCGTCCAGTGGACCGGCCTTCTCTGGCATTTCGATCGAGTCCAGACTGCTGAGCATCTCTTTGATCTGACGGATCCAGTGCACCATAGCCGCTGGAAAAGATCAATCAATGATATCAATTTTATCGCAACATTTTAGATATCCTAAACGTTTGAAAAAAAATCAATCAAAGCTGCAAAGTGACGCGATGTAATCCATCTTTTACCACATTCTTTATTTTATCGGCATTTAAAGACGTTTGAAAATAAAAAATCGACCGCAATAAATCAGGACCAGGGGATTATATAATTCATCTCCGAAGAGCCGCGACCAAGGCCCGCCGCGACGTGCGGTCACTCACCCTCGAGTCGCTCCACGAGGTCCTTATCCTTGGCCATGTCTTCGACGGACCGGGACAGGTCCTCGTCGGGCACATAAAGCACCGTCTGGCCGGCGGCCTTGTAGCGCGCGTCGGTCAGGTGCGCCATGAACCGGTGCAGCTTACTGGCAAAGTCCTTACGGATGCCTGGGAGGGGCGGTTGAGGAAAACATGGCGGATATCGAGCGGATGTAGTAAGAAAGCATAATATGGAAGCGACCTACTCACGACCACGGGTAATATCGGTACATTTTGGGAATTATATGAGAAATAGCCGCGCTGAAAAAAAATAATGCGTATTCCATCGACACATAAAAATAAACCTCACTAACCTATTCCAACAGCCTGCAATAGCACGTAACTATTTGTCAAAAATCGCTACAAACCACTCATCTCTCTAATCAAAGGATACTGTCTGGCCAGTGCGTGTTGCCGAGAAAATACGGCATGTAGAGCGACGACATCTTGATCAGCAGCGACTCGAGAAACGGCGCCTTCATGTTGCCCCAGGATATCTTCCCGCGATAGTTGAGGTCACTCAGAATCGGCGGCGAGTTTGGTCGTTTGGCGAAATATATAATTTCATCAACCTGTGAGAAGAGAAAAACAGCTTTCAACATACTTCAAAAACACCATAAGAAAAGAATCTTACCGGTATATTATCAAATAGGGCGGTTTTCCATCGTCAGCAATCTAACACAGTTCAGTGATCCCACACCGGGCCACCGTCCGCACCTGTTTGGCGGGCATTCCGTAGAGCGCCACCAGCGTCCTCTCGGGCGTCGTCGGCGCGTCGTCGGCTGTCTCGGCCGGCGGTGTCGGTTTCTCGCCGGTCGCCGCCGGCGCCGGGGAGTCCACGTAGAAGGTGATGAGTGGACAGCCGGGGTCCTTGAGGAAGGTAGTGACCTTTTCGTCGTGCCAGTCCTGCCACAACTCTGCCGGGGTGCCGCACATGGACCAGCACCGACGGACGTAGCTCACCTGGTGACGGGGGCAAAACGACGACGGTAACCGGACGATACCGGGGAGTGTGAGACAGACAGTACCGCAATCGAGGTATGGTGAGTGCCTCAGGGCACGAGGGAATGCTATAGTGAAGGGCAGCGAGATATTGTATGAATAATGAAGTAGGGCAGCGACAGTCTACTCACCGATTCCACCCATTCTTCGATGAGCTCTTCTTCCGGTTCCGATTCAACTTCTTCGTCACTTTCCGGCAGCTCAGTGCATTCCGACTCGTCAAACTGTGAATCTGAAGCAAATGCAAAAATGAATCGTAGGTATATTACTGCAAATGCAAATAAATAAAAAAAACGCACAGGAGCTCACTGCATATGGTATCGCAGCCACCAGCATCTAAGCGGTGCCCTAGAGTGCCCAGACATTCGAATAAACAATACCTGCCGCAAAAGAACGTCTAAATACACCATCTGTTGCTACCTATTTACCTATTTACCTTCGATCTCAGATGCTTCTTCGGGAGCTTCCTTTGGCTTCTTTCCCTTTTTGCCCTTCTTAGACTTCCCGTCCTTTTTTCCTTTCTTAGGAGTTCCCGGACTTTTTGGCGACTTGGCTTTCTTGGGACTCCCGGGACTTTTTGGCGACTTTGGAGTCTTCTTGCCTGGACTTTTGCTTTTACCCTTTGCCTTAGGCATTTCGGCTAGTTATCAATGTCGGCAAGTATAAATTGTAAACAATTAGACACAGGGAATGAAATATCTTGAAAGTTTTTTAAGCCTGAAAAGAAGCGTCATAGGTAGTTTTATAAAAACCCAAGCAGCAGATGCAACGATTCCACGACACCATAAGGGCAGTAACAATTTAAAACGGTTACTTTTGTGAGTTATCTTGGGGCGCCATCTTACTGAGAGCCAAACACCATCATCACCACTATCACCGCAAGTAGGTACATTGAAAGGTACTGGATGCTGGGCCCAAAGGGCACGCGTTGCACCGATTTCGAGTGTCTTCAGCAATCCACCATGAGATCGCCGTTGTTTGTGCACGGCTGAAGTATCGATAGCCTATATCTATGTAAACCATTTTCCAGGATATGAGTGCTAGTTTCGCTGAAATTCTTGACCTCCTATCGAGATCACAGCACCCCGTAGGTAATCCGCCGCACCTATCCTCCGTAAATCGAACGTCGAAAGTCGCCGGAGGGGTATTATATCCAGATATATTATCCAGCGCTAACGATGTCATTTTTCGTGTTCCACTTTACATTCAACAACGATTCTACAAAAGGAACACATGAATCGAAGATACTCTGCGGCCGCTTGCCGCCCGCGCAAGACGTCTTGCATCTCCGTGACGAGAGCCTTTGGCACGGAAGCGCGGACGCGAAAGCTCGCGTAGAATGGGGTAGAATAATTCTGGCGTTCGTTTCCCCAAAAATCAGCGGCCTACGTGCAGCGTTGCAGCAGCGTTGAGCGTGACAATTTCAGAAGAAATTGTAGAGTGCATCAGGCGAGCGGGACAGGCCAGCTGAGAACAGATTCGTATTGGAAACCATCGACTTGCTAATCGTTTCGAAAGCAAAATAAAAATACAAACATAACAGAAGATCAAGATATGAAAATTTGCTTATCCGCAAATTTTATATCAAACATGGCCTGGATTTTGGTCTCAACAGTCGACAAAACAAGAATGAAGAACAACATCGAAATTTTACGGCTCAGGTGCATGGTAAGAAAAGGAAAGGGAAGACATGCATTTTTCAAGGCGGGTCCAGCATACTGAATGATCAATTTATCCCGCATACCTACCCTTCCCCCATTCATTACCTCCACAACTTGTCCACAACAAATGACAACCATGACAACAATCAAATGTTTACAATATGGTCATATCTTGGTCATATGTAAACATTGCACAGCTGACTGTTGCTATGGTTATTTCAAGAGGTTATTATATGCTAAGATTATTAATAGTCTTATCGTCACTCTGAATAAATTTTGTCTGTTTTTTTTTTATTTCCATTCCTTTTTTAATTTAGGTGAGTGGTAACTCACTGTACTGTACTTTGTGACCTATGTTTGTGACGCTTCTGTTTTTTTTTTTAAGAAGCTTGAATTATTTTGAGCTATATATTTGACGCAGAAAAGACATTTGTAACGCATAAATAAAGTAAGGCGCAGTTCACATACTCAATTGTGCACCAATTCGATGCTGCTGTTTTTGTTTCATATCGCTTCAAAAAATGAGAATATTATTATATTTCGTTAGTAATAAAAATTGAGTAAAGAACTATTAAAATTCTCCGATGTAAGGTCCAACGTGTAAAGTCGAAACTGCAAAATTTGGATTCTTGCCCGACATAAGTCGGAGATGGTGTGAACTTAGTATTAATGGCTAGCTTTCTTGCTCGACTTCATATTCGTTCAACAAAAGACTGCAGATTAGATGAGGTTAGAGTTGCGATTAATTCTAATTAATTTTCCTCCTTCGACTGGCTGCAATTTCCAGCGTGATAGGAATGGTAATTTTTGTTTGCATGTGAAATATATACACTGTGAAGTGTGAAGAAATAAATCCTATCTCCTTTTCTGGTAATGGTTGAGGTTGAGGTACATTTTTGTTTTGTCTTCTATTGTCATTCACTTATAAATTGAAATCATTTGAGGATTAAGCATGGTGTAAATTTTGATTTCAGGTCTTACATTAGTTTCCTCACTATGTATATTTGCATACTTTTTGTAATCTGTCAGCACCAATTTGCTGGATCAAGCATATTTTATTGCGGTTATCAGTCGCCTTCTGGGTTTTAGGGCCTGCTCACTGCTGCCTGTAAATTGTCATTTTGCACCTATGTCCAAGTGCATTATAGTCAGGTATCAAGTGCAATGGGGAAATGTGACCATGCAATGCATTGTTCTAGAATCTTCATAATATTTCTGTTAGTACAAGTGATTTAAAAGTTAAAACCCTATTCTTTGTTTTCAGATGCTACGTTCTGCGCTGAACATAGTTCGGACATATGGGCCTGGGGCCCGTCCCCTCTTGAGGGCCTCAAGGAAGCCTGTATCCTGCTTCTCAGGGCAGAGATGTCTCTCCACAAGCCTCCTGGCCAGTCCGCCGGTGCTGGCTCGGCTACGCCCACAGCTGCAACACAGATACATCTGGGGATGGCTCAATGCTATATTCAACAAGTAGGTGGATATTTACTCTTATGAAATATGGGCCAGTTGGATTAGGTCTGGATATTCTTAGTTGCATGGTTTTTGTTTTTGCATAATTAACACTACTTTTCATTTTAAATTATTTTGATTGATTCATTCAGCATTCTGTATCAGATAAAACCCTGACCCTCACCTGTCAGCTGTCAGCAGTCACAATTTTTGTGTTGCAATCCAGCCAGCACCTCACAAGTTGTAATGTTTTCATAAAACTCTATTCATCCCTTTTTGTCATCGTTTTCTTCATCAGCATGATGTGACAGCGCCTCCATCCAATGTTGTTTTCTCTCTAGGGTGGATGCAGACCGGATCAACGACGTGGGGCCGGACCGTGCGTGTGCTGAGTGGCTGCTGCGATGCGGCGCGCACTTCCGGTGGCGCAGTCAGCCCGACTGGCAGAAGGACTACAACACGCTCTCCCCCATCACCGGCCGGAAGAAACAGTATATCGAGGAGATAAACGCGGATAACGCGGCGCTCATGGACATCGGGTTCCATCACTTTAGTGAGTATTGTGGGGACTGGTGAGGCAGGGTGACAAATGTTTACATGAGCGAGGTAATGCTACAGTGCAGCTGTTGCTACAATGACCTAGTTATTTCAGAAACATGTTTGACGTCCGTTCTTATTTTGCCAGGCGCTGTACATCGTTCGTCGCGTTTTATGTTCGATTTGTTCGTTTCTTCCTAACTTATCTCCGGGATATCCGATACTTATGTACGCCCTTTACGGGAAAATACTGCAAATTCTATTTATTCAGCCGCGCTCGTTTCGCGTTTTTATGGTCGGGTTGTCATCGCGCTGCACAAGTTACAGTTTAGGTGTTAGGTCATGTGTTCAATTCCACGTGTTTTTATCGGCTCGTATATTTGCTATAATTATCTTTCGTTCAGTGTAGTGGGAAATGTTAACGAGAATTTTAGGCATACCCGTTATGCATCGTTCCTAACTTTACCGATTGTTCTGGTAATACGGACACTAATTACGCTGCCTTACTCACAGAGGGTCTGTCGTCGGTGCGTAAGATCCGGTTCCACTACTGCGGCTACCTGGAGGACCCGGCCCTCGTCTACCTCAGCTACCTCTCCCACTGCCTGGAGTGGCTCGAGATCAGTAGCTGCGGCAACATCACCATGGTCGGACTGAGGCACCTCGCCAGTCTCACGTGAGTCACGGAGTGGAGAAATACCAACCAGTAGAGGACGTGTGTATGGGATCAGCACACGACCTGGGGAGTTTCAGTGCACCACAGCGTTGTGGACTGGAACAGTCATTTGAATACAAACGCTTGCGTCATGTCCATGTGTATTTATTATTGCATGATCTGTATGCAGTATCTCATGTGTGCTGAGAAGCTCAAATGCGGGAATCAGCCGAGGTCGGATCCCTCCGTTATATGACTCGTCTTCCTCTGCCATACGACTTGCTCCCTCCTGTCATATGACTCGCGGCTTCTCTGTCATATGACTCGCTCCCTCAGTCATATAACTCGCTCCCTCCGTCATTTGACTCGCCCCCCCCCCGCTGTTTGACTCGCTCATTTTAAAGGCTCGCTCCCTCCGTCCACCGGCAGCCACCTAAAGGAGCTGCATCTGTACGACCTGCCCGAGATCGAGGACCGGGACGCGTGTGTGCGCGAGCTGCAGCAGCTGCTGCCCGGCTGTCACGTCACCTTCCCCCCGCCGCGCGGACGCAGTAACGCCAACAAGAACAAAGAGCCGCCGCCGGCACCGACACCACCGCACGGCGGCAAGAAGTAGACTGGTGAGTCGTCGGACGGTGTCCGTGGTTTGCGGGGAATGGTCTGTGGGCATTGTAACGGAGCTGGTTAATGGAGATATTTTCATGCTGGGCTTGTGCTCGCCTTGTGAGTGTTTGTCGTATTTATTCAGGGCTGTGGGTCGAATGATTTTAAGTTACTTCGACTCCGACTCCACAGTCCACAGCCCTGATTTACGAGTATCATGACCACCGCGTTGACAGCTTTGTTAAAACATCTTTTTTAGGCTAATCATTTATCGAGCTAACATTGTCCTTATTGACGCGATGCCGGTCTAAATTTAGGCTAAGGAAGCCAATGTTTTACTCATCCCGCTCATTTAATTTTAACGGTATTGTTTTATCGATAGTTCATAACTTTTTGACGTTTATATGTTCTTTCCTTCCCTAGGTCTTTAGTAAGCTGGCAGGGCTGTGGCTTGTCATCGACACCATATCAACACTGCCGACTATGCAGCGTTACGGGACAGACCCCTCTTCTATGAAACTGGTCGGATCTGTGAGGTTTGTTCAACTTAGACACGAGTGCTCAAATGCGTACATATGCAGATGAAAGATAAAAATATCGATGCAAGTGACGTGGTGTTATTGAATGTTGTAGAAGCCGGTGCCGTTCATCGTTATGGGGCTGAGAATAGGATGAGTGACGCAGGCTCCAGCTGTTCGTCGTTGTTACCTCGATGTGATAGGCAGAATATAGATGAGCCCGTCGCGTCACCTGCCATTGTGCATCCCTCACGGGACAGCGCTCAGGGCGTGGGTCTACGCGGCAGCGACCGTCCAACGTTTTTGTTGCCTGACGGGGATGACTTAATGGATGACATAAAACAACTAGAAATATTCAGATTTGGGACTTTTGATATGTCCTCTATAAGCGCGGAGGCCTCGAGGAGGTTAACCAGTAACCGATTTGTATATTTTTTATTGCTTATAATGGCCTCTTCGTTCAGGGGCGTTATTTTTACAACAATGTGCTACCCCGCGTGAGAGCCCTGATCTTGCCGGCTTCGAATGGGATTTGGGCTGTTCGTCTGTGTCACGTGCTGATGATAATGATAATAAAATGTAAATAGACGCGGTTCCTTGTGTTGCGAGCCCAAGGCGAAGACGAAGCTGACCGGTGGTGGTGGGCGTGGGGGGGGGGGGGGGGGGTGGGATTACAGCCTGGGGGCTGGGGTACTGTAAAAAAATGTACACACCATGGGCCTGTTCCAGCGCCTCCAGAAACCTCCAGAAAGCTCCAGAAAGCTCTAGAATCCTCCAGAGAGCGTTCCAGCGCCTCCAGAAAGCTCCAGAAAGCTCTCACCAAAGCTCCAGAAACCTCCAGTAGCCTCCAGAGAGTTGAGAGGTCCAAATTTCTCTGGAGGCTCTGGTCTACAATTATGGTGCACATGTGACAATCACGAATGTAAACAAAGGACATTTGACTGATTATTTTACAACTTGAATGTAAAGAAAATTACATTGCTATAATTTTATTTATCTTTTTAACTAAAATTGAAAACAAATTTTGCGTTTCAAGAGAGAACAATCGTCATTCTTTTGGTATCTATGACGCCAATCTCCAGAAATCTCCAGATTGCGTTCCAGCGCCTCCAGTAAAACCTCTGGTAGAGCCTCCAGTCAAGAATTTCTTCTGGAGGCGCTGGAACAGGCCCATGATTGGGATTCACGATTTAAAAGAAGTATGACGGATTCCGGTAGTGCGTCGCCTGGCAACGCTCTGCCGTTTCAACCCTAATTCAATATACCCTGGTTTTAACCTCCTTTCTTTTGTCCGTCAATCTAGCAGTAGATTCGCGAATATCAATATGCTGCTAGATTGACTGACGTCCGTCTCTTTGCGAGTTGCTAGGCAACTCGCGGCTGCTTTTTCGCATTTCGCTAGACGTCACGCTTAGAACAGTGTCGAGCACGTTTGTGCATCGCGTTTATGAAGCGAAGTAGAGACCTTGGTTTGTTTGGTTTTAATATTTATGAATTGATTTTTGATTTTCATTTATTCTGTAGGAGGCGTTGCAAGACGTATTGATAGGTATTCATTTACCCTTTCATCATTCAGTGGTTGTACATAGAGAGTGTGAAATAGAGGATGTTTGGGGTGTTTTTGCCAACACCCAACAGCTTTTTGTTAAACCTACAAGTTTGGTGCATTATTGGGACATGCCTAAGAGCTGGACTTTTTGCACGCGTTCCCCGCCAGGGGGCGCCACTGAGGAAGCACCCTCTGACGTCACGATAAAACTGCGCGCACTGTGCGCACGGTTCTGTAAGCAAATAATATAGTGGTGGTTTCATGGTGGAAATTGGAATAAGTATTTTGACGTTGTAAAATTTCAAGCCGTTTTTGTGAAATTAATTTGTAAATGCATTTCAAAAGTATTTATTTAAAGTGTGAAAGGAGAATAATAAGAAGAACATGGATATTTTTGTTCCAATAGCTTATTATGTGAGACATGATCGGTACTAACGGGTACTTCTAAGAAGTAGTGAAGAAGTACCAAACAGCCTGCTCGGCTACGATCGTCAGCTGTCCTTTGGAGCTGGACTTCAACGCTGTAAGAAAAATGTGTGCCGAATTAATTTTTAGTTTTACCAAAATATAAGCAATTTATCATTTCTTTTTCACTTTTGTAATTTTTGTTGAGTGAAGAGACATGTTGCTTGTTCTGACAATATAAATTATTAATTAAAAAACAAACGAAATGCGACGGTAAGTATCTGCTACTAAATTATCACTTTAACCAAATACATGAAGAATCTTGCTACCATTGCTTATAAAACGTGCTTATCAATACACAAATGTTTTATTTCAGACAAGAAGGATTTATTTGCCTGAAGTCTTGCGTCATGTGCTACTGCTTTGATTCCAAAGACGCTCTCCGGGTCGGGGTAATTTAGTTCTTCATCGATCGATAAGAGATTTTGATTCCATTGATATCCAAATTGATAAGCTCGGCACCATGGAGTAAGGGCGTCCCCGCAGGGGTGACGCAGGAAATATGAATGGCGTTTACACCGACAGTAGTTTCCCACAGCCGGCAATGGGAATCTCCTGTCGGTGTAAACGCCACTATAGTCCCATCCAACTCAAACACTGGGGAATATCCCCGCACTTTTGAGGACGGAAATCTATGGACCTGCTCGAAAAATAGTGGATAAAATACGGCGAGCTTTCAGTTTTATGGTTGGGTCTCCCTTCCGAGGGACATATTTTACGGGGGATATTGGGTCATATTCCCCCGGCGTCCTGATGATCGGCGCCCAGCTCAACGTCGAAGGCGCCCTGATACGCGGCACTGCTATCTGTGAAGGTGCCCAGGTTGCTGCCGCTCGAATTTTGGTCGCCTACTTAACAAAACCTCCGTTGGTGCCATCTCAGTTTCCTCGAGGTCAGGCAACCTTCACACGCCGTTGGCTGCCTTGGCTGCCGGCGACTCGTTCCCCTCGTGGCGACGCTCTTGACATCCAGTCAAAAGTTGGAGTGGCTGGCGCCCCCAGTGGGGGCCGGGGAAGGGGCAGTGGGCCTCCACGTTGCTCTCTTCCCGAGCCTATGGTGACTTGGCTCAACTCTCCTCAATAGAATCTGGATTCTGCACGCTGTATTAACATGGGCGTAGACACCACTACGGACAATACGGACAGTGGGTGTGACAATCAGTAGTGCCATTCATATAGAGGGTGTCATATATGAGCGGAGAGGCAACAGTACAGCTGAGCGGAGAGACAACATTAAAACAACAGTACAGCTGGCGTTGCATGGAGCTGCAGGCAACCGGACAGCGGAGGCTTGCGAAAAATAAACAATTCGTCACTTCAACGTATAAACAATAGCATAAAAAGCAACATAAACACATATTCTCATGGTCGAACCCATGCACTAGCGGCTCACGGCGGGCACAGGCACGCAGTGTGGTAGCGGTACCGGATCACACGTCATGGGCGTTGTCTCAGCATAGGTTGTTATGAGTGGAGAGGCAACAATACAGCTGAGCGGAGAGACAACATTAAAACAACAGTGCAGCTGGCGTTGCATGGAGCTGCAGGCAACCGGACAGCGGAGGCTTGCGAAAAATAAACAATTCGTCACTTCAACGTATAAACAATAGTAAAAGCTACATAAACACATATTCTCATGGTCGAACCCATGCACTAGCGGCTCACGCACAACAGTACAGCTGGCGTTGCATGGAGCTGCAGGCAACCGGACAGCGGAGGCTTGCGAAAAATAAACAATTCGTCACTTCAACGTATAAACAATAGTAAAAGCAACATAAACACATATTCTCATGGTCGAACCCATGCACTAGCGGCTCACGGCGGGCACAGGCACGCAGTGCGGTAGCGGTACCGGATCACACGTCATGGGCGTTGTCTCAGCATAGGTTGTTCGCAATCTAGTTGAAGCCTAAGAAGACGGCCAGTGGGGTCTCACTGCTGCTGAGGCGACCTCGGAGACGATGCGTCGCCCCTCCTGTCGGCGACCTGTGGTGAGCAGGACTCCAGATAGCTGTCTGGCACGTTGCCGACACTGCCAGACGCTGTCAGCAGGCCTCACTGCTGCAAGTGATGTGCAGATGGACGCCAGGTGACTTCGTCTGCAGGCGATTCCGGAGACCGCGGCCTCACCAGGCAGTACCACCTGCATCGCCATGTCGGTGTTTCTAGAAATGGAAAAATAACAGTATCGGTGAAGGACAAGCAATACAATGTATACTGTTTTCCTCTCTTGCAGGTATACGTAATCTACAATTATCATTGTTCCTATTTCATTCAACTGAACCTGAAAATTCCATATTGGCACATTTTTTGACTAAATTTGTGTAGTTGGGAACAGGGGCGACGCCACGGTGCGACGACTGGAGGGGACATTGACCATTTTGGAGGGGACGAGGACCATTTCAAGTCGATTCTTTCCATGCAACGCCCAGGCATCGGTAAAATCCTTTTTGAAAGGATTGCATTCCCAATCCACATTCCTAGTGCCGAAGTGGATTGCATTCCTACCCGCAATCCCCTTTTTTCACTTGGATTGTGATCAAATCCGCAATCCTTTCTTGCAATCCTGTTGTATTATTATGTGCACTAGTGGATCTGGGGGAGGGAGGGGGGCATAGGGCCGTGCTTCCATCCCCAAATCACCCATTTCTAGTACCTAGTATTGCGAGTAATTCCTATCTAAGGCACAGGTATTTTATGGGAAATATTTTTGCCTTAAACACCCCCACATTTAAACTTCTACCCAACCACTGTTTTATATTTTTAAAACTCGCCCTCAACTACGTAATTTTGCCCTTCCTATGTACCTAGTTCATCAGCGTATATTATTTTGAGCGTTTCAATTAAAGGGACCCTCCCACCTTCAAAAAAGTTAATGAATTGGCATGAAAGTGACGTCGCTCGGTTCAGAAAGAGCGAAAACGAATATCTACCAAATTTCATCGAAAAATATTCACTGGTTTTCAAGATATTAGACTTTTACGATTGTTTACTTTTTGGGATCTCCGCTGTTCCTAGCGACTTTATTTGAAAGTGCGGCATTTGTTGCGCGCAAAGCAGCATATACCACCGCGTGCTACAAAACGTTTTAGTCAAACATTTAAAAATCGTTAGATATCTGCGCTGACGTCACACATTCAGAGGGGTATTCCTAAGCATTAGCCCCTCTGAATCAAAATGCTGCAATTTTGAAATTCAATATTTCCGATTTAAGGCATTTCTCGATGTTGTGAGTGCCGAAACCGGTAATTGTGAGCCAGGGACCCCATTTTGGCTATCTCAACTCAAATCTAATGTTAAGGTAAGAGGGTCCCTTTAAAAGCGTTTAAATTATTTCAAGTTTCGATATAAAGCCCTTGATAGCAAAGTACCTACATTAGGCCGATGAAGCCGATCTCATAATTTTCAATCGCAACAAACCATTTCAAAGCACTAATCAAACACAATCCGGATTGGATTGCAAAAATTGGAAGTATGATGCAATCCAATCCGCAATCAAATCCTGTTTTTTGGAATGGATTTCAAATCCAGGTGCAATCCACCAAAAAGGAATGCAATCAGGATTTTGCAATCCTGCAATCACAATCCTACCGATGCCTGGCAACGCCATAGGCGTAATGTTAAAATCTTAAAAAGTGGAGAAGTGGAGGGGACAAGATCCCCTTCGTTCCCCCCCCCTGTGGCGACGCCCTTGGTTGGGACGCAGATTGTTTGAAATACATGTTTGGCTGAACAGTGCGGAAAATATTTCATTGATCACTATAGCTGCAACAAAAATACTGAGACAGAAAACATTTGCGCTTACCTGGCTCCTTAGTCAGTCCCGCACGACGGAAGTGGTACCATTTATCGCAGCCGTCGCATCCGACCATCGGTGCTGCACTGATGCTGCTGCACTCCCCACATTCCCAGTACCTTAGGAGCGTCTCGGCTGTGAAAAGATTACATGAGTCATGGCGCATACATGAATAGTAAGATGTTTCACATGTTTAACATCACATAGCAAAGACACAACAGCTGGGAGTCAAGTGTAAGCCAAAGTGTAAGCCCTGCCATGTTTTGCAGACTGGATTTTAAGCAAGAAAAGCTTTGCTAAAAATGACGCTTGACGAAGCCTCATCCTACTGGGCTGTGTGACATGTCTTCCTGTAAAAAGCATGTTGCCCTTATATTGTATATATGATGAATATGTTAATAATGCAGAGAAAACACAGTATAAATTATACCCAACGTTTCATCTTAATCGACTTTGTCAAAGGTATTTGAACAGCTTGAGATGAGTGAAGTGTAAGGGTACCTAGGTACATCTGAAAATAAACTGAATCTGCGTTCAATAAACATTGATTTTGATAATACATTTCACAAATCAATTACTAATAACAATCATACTAAAATAGCACGACAGATAACTAACAATCGCATGAAGAACTTCTTGATTCGCCTTGACATTGTCGTCCGAACGAATGTTGTCTGAAGTTACACATTTGTCTTTTCTGCGCAGCATTTGTGTTTGCCATTTACCGCACCAATGTTCGCCAGCGGTGGTGACTTTTCCTTACCTGCTCACGAAACGTCACACACGACATGACGTCACCCGAAGACGTCATCAAAAAGTCCAGCTCTTAGGCGTGTCCCTGTCTGACGCCAAGGATGAAAGATGAAACGCCTTCGCTGACGTTCTACTTGACTGCACATTTTGATGACGTCATAATTACTGTACTCTGATTCGTCTGTTTACTGACTACTTACTAAACTCGCTAGATATTTGAGTCAAATATTGTAAATTTTGATGACGCAATTTTTCTTCAGTATACGAGGTATTTGTTTTGTTTACCTTTTTGGTAGTTGGCATGGTTGTGGCGCACGAAAGACGTTTACCAAAAAGTAAACAGTGGGCTGAAGCAAGGCTATGTAAACCAAGATACCTATAAGAAACAGGTAGGTCCGATGTTTTGAGTAAAGCCCAGTAAAGCCCTGGTGACGTCACTGTCATTTCTTATATGGAGAATTTCGCCCATAAGGAAAATATTTTACATACGAAAATTTGTATTTCATTAGGAAAAAATACATTCTATCAATTTCATCATGAAACTTATATAATTTAATTAAAAAACTTGAAATCCTTTGAGTGCTTGTCCCAACCCCTGCTATACCTTTGGTCACGTGACTTCCATGATAAACTTTGCGTTTTGCAATGTTATGACTTAAACAGAAGCAATAAATGTTACAAGCGTATTATTTATGATGTTTTAGGCAGCAATTGTGTAATAACATCCTTGAATTATATACATTCTGCTTAAAAGAGGTCACGTGATGTTACCAGATTGTGCTCGGACAGCATTTTCTTAAACTTCGATTTTGAGTACTTTTTACCTTCATTGAGTCCTAATAACGGACGTTTTTAGTTATAAAATGAAGCAATGAATCTATTGAGGGCAAAATTTAATCATTTTTGCACTTTCAAGCCGGGCTATCCTGGCATGAACTTCGGCCGGTTTGTGTGTGAAGCCTATGGTGAAGGGAAAACTTCACGCCCGGCTGACGTCACAGACCTCGGCTACCAAATCGTGTCCGGTGGGGGTCGATGTAAACCGGCTGAAGAATGGGCTGTAAGAAAGAAGGGTAGGATAGAAGCAAAGCAAAAAAAAAGCACTTTACGAGGAACGACAATTCAACTGGACGTTCTGGGCCCAACGAGGCTATACGTCCTACACCACAAGTAACCACAAGTAAGTAAGTAAGCAAAGCAAAAAAAACTGAAGCCGACTAGGTATCCCTCGTAGTGAGCTTGAGCTCAAGTGAGCTCCTTACGATCAAGGTATTACTGTACTAGTTAGGTAATAGCTTATACTCATTCAAGTAACATATGATTCAATATATGACACCTACTGATTCAAGTAACGTCAGAAGAAGAGGCATCTCTTGAATAAAGTGAAAGAGTCTGATTACTCGAAAGGGTACCTAATGACCTTTACTTAGCTGGGTACTTAAGGTAAATTATTTATATTGGCTGTGTTGTAGTGCAGCCATGTTGAAAAAGCGCCCGTGCCAATCAAAATTGAAATTTAATTGAAATTGAAATTGAATTGAATTGAAATAGCTCGAGACTGCCAGACTCCAGTTACCCATCTGATCTACTGAGTTTTCTGGTGTTATCTGTCCCAAGGCCCTACCTATTCCTAAAACAGGTGCTGTCCAGGCTCTCACTGGTCATGGCCCTGTGGCCTGTCAGACCTGCAGAAAGGTTTTAAGTTTTAACCTAATATTGCCTTGTCAGCAACAAAACAAGAGAGGATAGGTACATTCCAAAATGGTCAATTTCCTGTAATGTACCCACGGCTTGAGTAATTGATCTGAAATGACATTTATTTATGATCCACAGGGGATCGTGATCGACTGGATGACTACACCTCTTCATCATCATACAGACTGGTAGTGGTTCCAGCGTTGATCAGCTGTCTGGTGAGTGTTAATAATCAGTCACATGTCAGTGTAGGACAGGTACTCGTTGATTGTTCAGAGTCGAATGATAACAGCAGGGTCAATATCAACTATCAAGTATGTGTACTTACAACTACCGTCTATCGGTGTTTTTCATTGGTGCTGCAAAAGGTACCGACTTTTGAAATAGCTGGGTGATGTAGAAATATGCAAACTAACTTTCAGTGTATTATTACACCATCCACTCATTTACAATAAATTGGCAACAATGGGCACTCAGAAACAACACTTTCAAAAATCAGAGTTCAGCCAAAAGATGTACAAAATTCATTGCTGATAACATATCAAATCATCGCCTATCAGCTACCCCGTCACTCTGACGCCGGCGGTTTCCAGGGGCGCGCGTAGTTATCGATGGTGAGTCGTTTGAAGCGCTTGACTTTGATGACCAGTTTGTCGGGATCCGTACGCGATCGTTGGATGTCTAGCACCTCGACCCGGTGCACGTCGATGAAGGAGGGGTTCAGAGTGTTGAGCCCGCGCACGACGTCCACCTCATCTTCAATCGTCACCTGATTAAATGGAAATGTCAAAATCAATAAGCGGTAATCTGAGCTCCTGAAGTGGAATGACCATGGTGAATGGCGAAATGGCGAGCTGGAAGACACATGAATGAGCTTTAAGATATCCACACAATAGGAATGAAAGTAACATCTGAAGATCAGGTGCTTTCATGGTCAATACACATCATGAGACATAAATACATCTCCAATTTGAAGTTTGAACTTCAAAAAGTGGCAAATACCATAGGCCAACCACCCAAATGGCTCCTTACAGAGTGTTTCTTCTTGTCCAGCCTTTCACCGTTGAGGTAGATGCTGTTGCTATAGAAAGCATTTTCAACTTTGCTGAAAAAAATGGCAGGAACATGAGACAATAATTATGGTTATTGACATAAGCTGCAATAGGTGATGTTACTGGTGTCTTTTCTTGAAGCTTGTAAGTTCCAGCTTCAGAATGGGGCATCACTCAATACATGGACTCCTTTTGGATACTCAGCCTAAAGAAAATAATTTTGTTTGAGTGGTTACTAAGCTATGTTTGTTATTGTTTACAAATTAATAACAACAGGCAGAAAAGCCTTATCTAAGTTGCATGCTTATTATGAATAAAATGTGTGTAAGAACAAAGTAGTAATAGGCATGAGCACATCATAGTTTTCCTACTCACTTTCTTGACATCCCAAGGGCAAACTTGAGAACAGAGTCAATCCGTGTTGAGTTCACATTTCCTTTGAGAACTTTGAAATCATTTCCCTGCTCATCATCATCTTCTGAGCCATCAGAGTCATCTCCATCCTCAACCTGGAACATGAAATCAATTTGACCAGCCTAGCATTGTCATGTCACAGCTTGCAACTATCATGGAAAAGAGCATCATATAATATAAAGATCATCATCAAAGATCATCATACCACATTTTATTAGCAGGTGTATTTACAAAACAGATAAACAGTTTCAAAAGTAGGTGAAAACGAATTAGGTGGGTGTACTCACAGGAGAGCTTGAAGCTTTCTTTTTCTTGTGGCGGATTGATAAAATTTGAATCTTTGATAGCTGAGCATGCTCGTATGGAACCGCAGGCTTCCTTGATGTCTGATGGGCGAAGCAGATACCTTGTAAGTGTCTACAGTGTGCCACACTCCAAGTTTCATCTATTACCAATCTTGATCTCGATGTAAGACTGGTCAGTCTTCCTTTCACTTTACCTTTCTGAATTGTTTGTCCAAAACGTTTGACGATGTGACATGTTCTAGTAAAAAAGATACTGGTCATTTTACCACAAGGCTTTTTCAAGACAAATTATACTTCATCTGTTATTCACACCGCTCACACACGATATTCCACAATAAAATAGCACGCAAACATCCCAAGCCCAATGACTTCGTGTGCTTCTTCCCCGGCTTTGAAGGGCCATCCTCCCGTCTTTTTTTTATACGCTCTGTTCAGAAGGAGAAATACTGCTCGCGCGCAGGACAGCCGGCGAATGGAAAACCCGGTGGAAGCGTGAGCTCTAACTTTGATTAGTGCGTTTCTGCTTACGTACGCAGCGGATAGAAAATAAAACAGATAAGCTTTTTGCTTCAGATATGAAGCACATCAGACATTTACTGCGCGAGTTTTTAGTTGCGGCCACTAAAAAAAAAAACAGCCACACTTGCACAAAAACATCAACAAACATCAGGCGGCCGTGGGAGTTGGTGGGAGTTGTGAGTTACGGTAAGTGTCGTAAGTGTATCAGTCTTGAGTTATGTGTCAATTTCTTAGGGATTATTTGAAATTCGAACTGTTTGTGATCCACAAATTGTTATTGTTACAACTTACACTTCATATCATATGATATTGCTGAAAGGATAGTGGCAAATGGCAATAAGGTAGGTACAACTGAAAATCGAAAGAAATTCGATATTATTGGGCTTATGGGAAAATTGATATGCATACTTATGACTAAACCAGAGCGTGTAGCATTGCCGTAGGTACCTAGTGTTCAGTCAGTCTTGAAAGTACTGCGCATGAGTGTGATGGATCCATCAAGGAAGATTTGATTTGAATAATCTTATACCAGACGAGGAAGGACTGCTAAATTTGAGTCACTGAACCAATTGACATCCACATTCCACATATATCCCCCAGGTGAATTGGTTATGTGATGCCCTTCGTCAATCGGGCTTGATAGCTCCACTCACAATGTGCGTTTGTTTCAAGACTGACAGTACCTCCGTCAGAGGCGGATCCAGCTCAGAGTTTTTTTGGGGGGGCAAACCTTAACAATTTATCGATTCTTTCCATGCATCGTCCATAGGCGTAATGTTAAAATTATGCCGTTTGGGGGGGGGGCAAATGCCCATTTTGCCCCCCCTGGATCTGCCACTGACCTCCATAGTTTTTAAAGTTACATAAGTTGCACAATTTATTTCACAAAACCCAGAGTGACACATCTCCCCCTTCCCCATTTCAGCCTGGCAGCAGGATGCCCAACGACTCGGTTGTCGGCGGGGATGGTGTGTTCCGGGCCACTGGCCACTCAGAGGGAGTTCTCTCCCGGATGGACCGGCTTCGCTCACAGCGGGCTCTCTGTGATGTAACTCTCATTGCAGGTATGTGGAAATTACCTCAGCTTGTGATTTGAAGGACCACAGGATTGTTGTATTGGTCAACAGTTACAATTCATATATCTATCACTGTGCAAGTGTAGGTGGCTGGATAGCTTTGATCCTATTAAATGATGTTCAAATGCACTGAAAAGTTGCTTATGTATTGAATCTATGCATTGATTATTTATGAGATGTACAGCTGAAAACTTGGTTGTCAAATATTTTTGGACACTCACTTCCATCCTCTCTTAGTGTGAAAGTTTCTTAGGCCTCTGCCTGGCATATTCCTTCTTGTAAACTAGCAATTATCTTCATTTATTGCTTGTCGTGTTGCTGACGGTTTGCATTGTGAAGGTCATCGTTATCCAAGTTTTCCCACTGACCTAACTGCTGATATTGTATTGGGTTGTGCTGCATTTTTCTGCACTAGCACTGGATCTCAAGCATGCATTAGACCCCCTCCTTTGCCTTCCGGACTCCAGATCATAATTCAGTACCTGAGCTCTGCACGAATTGGAGATCGTGTGATGTTTGGCTTCCCAGAACCACTGAGCTACTACGCATCTGCTGTATCCAAATCACCCCAGTTGACATTTGTATCTGAGTCTCAGTGCATCAGTTCAGTCACCCCCCCCCCCCAACCCCAGAGAGGCAGAGAGACTCACCCTCCACCGGGTCACGGAGGTCACATGGGACGCCGGTGAAAACAGGGCGCCGGAGGGCAAATTAGTCACGTGACATTTGGAACTTCTCCCCCTCCGTGGGCCTTCTACTACGCTTCTACATGCTAAATGTCACGTGTGAATTTCACGAACCTTGATCAAATCGCCCCAGGCGCCCTGTTTTTACCGTCGTCCGTCACATGGCAGCCGGATGCACCCCCCCCCCCCCCCCTCCCACCCGCGGCCTCCAGCGGAGCGGTATCGGTCGTAGTTGGCACTCTGCCAGCCCTGTCCGGGCGTCTCTACTCATGGCGTCTCTGAATGACGGCCGGAGCCCCCGAGCAGCACACGTGTGCTATTGGCAGCGGTGGGGAACCGGCCGGTCCTTTGTCCGCTGCCATCTTTGTTACGTATGTTCTCACTGTTTTCCTCATGGGAACAGACTGTGAGTCATGTATGGGTGTTGCTTGCTTCAGGATGCCTTTCTAACAGCAACTTGTGTTTTATAAATAATATTTTCCCTACCTTGACCTTTTGCTGACTCAATTTCGACTTTTCCCTATCCCTGACCTAACCTCACCCTACCTTGAACCAGACGTGATGCTGGCCCAACTATGACATTGCCCTGACTCTGACGTGACCCCAACGGACATTACCTGACATAACCTGACCCCTGACCTGACCTCCCGCTGACCTCTCCCTCCGTCAGACGGCCGGGAGATCACGGCCCACCGTCTGCTGCTGTCTGCCGCGTCTCCCTACTTCGAGGCTATGTTCACACAGGACCTCCTGGAGGCGCGAGCCACCTCCATCGAACTCAAACAGGTGCACCCCGACGCACTGGAGATGATCGTCGACTTCTGCTATACCGGTGAGGAGCCGCTGGTTAGCGATTGTAGCTAGGCGTTTTGCCAAGTAATCGAATGTGTTGTACAGATTGAAAATTATTCGTTTATGCTTTGGTAGCGATATTTATGTTACTCTACCCCGTGCATACTGAAACCAGCCCGTGCATACGCTTATGCCGAGATAAAGTAGTTTTTTTAACTGGATAGTGGATACACATTGTGAAAAGGAAAGGGACAGGGTTGGGTGTCGAGGTACAGAGCGTAGTCACGCTCGCCCGTGCATCAGGGGTACCGGAATAGCGTTTCTTTGATCAACCTACATATCTTATGGCACCGTGTCTTCTACAATTAAGGTTGGTCGGTACGACCTAGATTGATTATGCACATGTCCATGTGAGCGTAGGCACGCTGTTTTGTTTGCATGATAGTCTGGTCGCCTTTAGTTGCTCGCCTCCGCTCATCGGTTTCCCGGATACGCTACAATCGGTAGCATATCCTTCCCTGTGCGGTACAGTTCTAAGAAAGGGCTTACGTTGCCCAATGTGTTGGTTGTGTTGTGATAAGGTGATCGGACCTGCGTTTGAAAATCCTGCAAATGTACGTTTTTATTTTCTGATAGAAAGCTTTTATTGTGAAGCCTTTTCCATTTAAAACCAAAGTCGGGGACTGGACAGACAGCGATCCGGAATATTTTCCATGCGATACTACGCTCTCATCGCCACGGTGTCCTCGATTTTGTCCCTTCGAGCTCGATATATCCGCAGTGGCTACACATGACGCCCAGCTCTACGCATTGTGTACGCCGTACGCTGCACAGTGATCCCACTGCCCTTGCCCTGGGGTGTGTGCTGTACAGCATAGTGACCCTCCCCTCCCCTCAGGCTGTCTGGAGCTGAACGAGCAGACTGTTGAGGTCCTGCTCACCACCGCCAGTCTGCTGCAGCTGACTCAGATACAGACCGCCTGCTGTCAGTTCCTCGAGCGGCAGCTGCACCCGTCCAACTGTATCGGGATCGGACTGTTTGCTGACCGGCAGGGCTGTGCCGAGCTGTACCGCAGTGTGCAGCAGTACACCGCGGTTAGTGTAGCTGGGAGGGGGAGAGAGCAGTGGGGGAGGAGAGAGAGAGCTGGGGCGCTGGGAGGTAGCACCCACTGCTGCGCCGAGCTGTACCGCAGTGTGCAGCAGTACACCGCGGTCAGTGGGTGCCGTGGGGGAGAGAGCGGGAGTGTTGGGAAGAGCAGTGAGTGCTATCTAGGAGGAGACAGGTGGCGTTGGGAGGGACAACAGTAGTAACTTTCTGAGGAGTATTTTTTTTTTTGAATTGCTGTTATTGACGACGTGTTCAGGGGATAGTGGATCGTTTGCCAGCAGTATTTATTATTTAATTTGTATCAGCAAGTGACCACAGCCCTGATATTCGTTGTTCTTGCCTTTTCCAGGATAACTTTGTGGACGTGATAAGAAATAACGAGTTTCTGGACCTTCCGCCGGACGAGGTCGCCACGCTTCTGGCCATGGACGACCTGAACATTCCTTCAGAAGAAGTCATATTCTATGTGAGCTCCTATCGTGTTTTGCCTTTTTCTAAACAGTAGCTTTTGCTTGTCCTTTGAACGAATGGCCCGGACAAATTATTTTTTTTTGTTTTTTTTTTCAGTAAAACTGTGATGCTTGCATATCACAGTCAGATACGTACGATCTTTAAGTACTCAGTCATACATTGTCACCTGCTCTTCGCTAGGAATGATTACATCATGGATGCTATGGGCATGCTGCTTGTTTACGCGCTGCTTTTGATAACTCGTTCATTTTTTCGTCCAGGCGCTGAATCTGTGGCTGAACCATGACCTGAAGTCCCGCCGCTGTCACCTGACCCAACTAATGCCGCTGGTCCGACTGCCGCTCCTCAGTCCGGAGGTGGGTGTCAGAGTGCCAGGGTGCTGAGTGTCAGAGTGATGAGTGTCGAAGTTTTGAGTGTCAGAGTGCTGGAGTGTAATGCTGAGAGTATCAGTTTTGCTTCCTGTGTGGACTTTTGGATGTAGTAGGTCGGTTAATCTTTCTCGTTGGAATTTGGACACAATCTACCTGGGAGGCAGACCTATAAACAAGAAGACAGGTAACAATGCTTTTGTTATGTCATGTTTGATCCAGTAGAAGATAATTTTGTTTAGTAAAGTTATTGTGGTTTGTCTTTTTATGTAACTATAAATTCAGAAGTTTTATGATTTTCTCCTTACACCACCCCTCCCCCGCCACGCCCCCCCACACTTTAAGCCCTGTGTTCTCACCCCCCCCCCCTCCTTCAGTTTATGGTGGACCGCATCCAGAGCAGCCCGGTGTTCTCCTCGGACCGGACGTGCCTCTCGCTGATGCTGGAGTCACAGAGCTTCCACCTGCTGCCGCGGCGACGACAGTCGCTCGAGTCGTCCCGTACTCGGCCCAGGAAGGCCACAGTTGGGACACTGTACGCCATCGGGGGCATGGATAAGGAGAAAGGTGAGCGGGGACTGCAGAGGGATCGGCCGGCGTGGGGAGGTGAATGGGGATTGGGGGTGTTTATGGCAGGTATTGATGGCTCCTGACTTTTGGTAGATAGTTCACATACATGGCTATCGAAGATGATGCCATCGAGACTCTTTAAAATTTGTAGAAGTCAGGACACCTATAAATGCTTATGACCCTTACCTAGATTATTCAGACATTTTAACATATGTTTATGCCAAAATATCAATAGACAAAAGACAATTTATTCAGGACATTCCACGTGCACATGTGGCTATTACTGCCTGTCGTCAATAACACAGATGGTGATAAAAAATCGATAAAAGATGATGAAAGGGAAACACACGTGCAGATAAACAGTCATGCTGGCTACAGTGTTCTGCTCCTCGAGCAGATGGGTACGCAACTGACGTCCGAAAGCTCCCGGGGGCAGTCGGGACAAATCCGGTGGCAGCGAGTTGAGGGCAGCCGGCGCTCGGCAGGTGAACCGGCGTTTGCCCATCTCCGTACGGGATCGCGGCACGTGCAGGGGCCAGGGCTGTATCATATTCTGTGACCATTTGTTTCGCACCGCCTGCGCCCGCTGACGGCTCGTCTCGTCGGCAGGCTCCACCATTATCGAGTCGTACGACCTGCGCTCGGACCGATGGCAGCAGTGCGGCTTCATGACCAGCCGGCGGCTCCAGTTCGGCGTGGCCATCATCGATGACCGACTGTACGTGGTCGGAGGCAGGGAGGGACTGAAGACTCTGAACACAGTGGAGTGCTACGACCCGGCCACCCGCTGCTGGAGCTGCCAGCCGCCCATGAACAACCACCGGCACGGACTCGGTAGGTGACGATTACCGAGTCTACCGACACGGGCTCAGTATGATGGGGGGGGGGGGGGTATAACAAGGGGTCGGCGTGAGGCGTGAGCGGGGATAAACTAGGGTTCCCAGGGCACCTGGACTTCAGAGGCCATTGAAGACGCGGGTAAGTTAGGGAGATGAACTTTGACTTCAGCTTAAGATTTGGAGAGGGGAGAACGGTGCGGGGAGGGGATGCATTGTTCGTGGAAAGCAAGGGAGATGTGATTAAGTGGAGGAGGGGACACGTCATTTTAGATGAAGGGCTGTCTCGCGATCCCGCTTCTGATCCACCTGTCGTTCTGCTACCCCTCCCCCTCCCCCAGTGTATGTGGTCGTACCAGCAGAACACCCCCGCCGTTACTGCCACCTCCACCCCGTCTCTTTACTGACCCTTCCGTCCCTCTCCGTCACAGGCGTGGCGGTGCTGGGCGGCCCGCTGTACGCGGTCGGCGGCCACGACGGCTGGGGCTACCTGAACACGGTGGAGCGCTGGGACACGCAGACCAAACAGTGGAGCTACGTGGGCAACCTGCAGCACCAGCGCAGCACCTGCGGTGTGGCCGCGCTCAACGGCAGGTCGGTGCGACCGGGTGGGAGCAGTGGGTGCCGGGTGGAGCGGGAGGACTCGAGAGGAGGGAGGTGGGATTATGTGGGCATGGAAAGTAGTCTGTGTTTCTTATGTCTTGTGGAAAAGTAAATCGTTGGACGTCTCCGTTTTGAGAAGACGTTTGTGCTGATATTTTTGTCTAATCCTTTTGTTTTTATTGCACATTAAGTTATTGTTTGAAAGAACGTCGAACATCGCTTTTAGTCACACCCATCCTGTCGGAATTCCGTCATTATCTCTGAACTTCGCTCACCGTTCCCCGGTAGTCACAAACATTAACCCTCTCCCCCCGCAGGCTGTACGTGGTGGGCGGCCGGGACGGCTCGGCCTGTCTCCGCTCCTGTGAGTCGTACGACCCGCACACCAATCGGTGGTCGCCGCGCGCGCCCATGCTCCAGCGCCGCGGCGGCGTCGGCGTCGGTGTGGTGAACGGCTGTCTGTACGCGCTGGGAGGGAGCGATGCGCCAGCCACCAGTCCCAACAGCCTCAAATTCAGCTGTGTCGAAAGGTGAGCGCTCCGCTACAGTCGCACTTCGGGACGGGTTCGAACTCTGTTTCCATCTGTCTCTCTTTTAGGTTTATGCTCGTTAAGTTATCATTCTAACTAGTTCTTACATTTATTTTTTCTTAACCCCCTTTCCCTGTTGCGAGATTCCAGTCTGTCCTGTTTCCGTCCTCAGATATGATTGCCTTTTTTCCATACCCAATAGATACTGTTGTCAAATTTTATCCTCTAAGGCTCTAACCCGTTCACGTTCTCACCTATACTTCTCTGACGCATCTCGGCGTGCTCGCAGATATGACCCGCTGACACCCCTCCCTCTATCCCTCTCTGTCTCTCTCTCTCTCTCTTACTCCCTCTCTCCCTCTCTCCGCTAACTCCCTCACTCTCTCCAGGTACGACCCGCTCACTCCCTCGCTCTCCCCCAGGTACGACCCGCTTACTCCATCCCTCTCCCCTCTAAAGGCCGCCCCACACTGGACCTCGCATGCGGGTTGCGAGTTTTTGGTTTTCGGGTTTCTTCAAAATCAAATAATACAATCTAAGCTGAGTGACCCACACTTCCATCTAACAAGCGAGTATGCATGTTTTTAGCTTGCATCGCATTCCAAAAGTTGATTTTGAGTCAACTTTCGATTTTCCTCGCTGCGAGGTCTGTGAGTTCTGCGAGGTTTGCGGGTTTTTCGTTGGAGTCGAATTTTGGTTGGTTGCGCTGGTATTGCGACTATATGTAAGTTTCTGAGGGTGTACAGGCTTCACTGCATTCATGAAGTTACCATAAGGGATCGGTCTAATCACTATGAATAAGTACCAGTAAAACGCCTTTTGGGCGAAGAACGAGCGAGCGAGATATTGAGCCCTGCACGTGCGGAAGGGCGAGAGGGTACTTCCAACGGGCTTGTGCAAAGCACCCTTCTAACCGGTCGCTAGCGGTGTGCCAACTTTGAACGCAATCGCCCCAACCGTCCATGAGATCTGGAAGCGGCATTCTGCACGTGCGCACGTGCAAACGGGGTCCAAACTGACTTTTGCACTGCACCCTACTAGCCGGTCCCCAGCCGTGTACCAAATTTGAGCGCAATCGGCCCAGCCGTTCTCGAGATCTGGAAGCGCCCCCTGCACGTGCGCACGTGCAGTTAGCACCCTAACCGCAACACATGGGAATGCATTGCCTGGTGAGTGCCTACCTGTATGCCAAGTTTCAGCGAAATCGCCCCGGTAATTACCGAGTTATTGAAATGGGAACAAATTTGGCACCTCTTCTTTTTGTATTTTGCACGTGCAGTGGGGGTCACTCACATAGATCAAGAGTATCCGACCTTTGGTAGAAGGGATGTAGCTACCCTACAAAAATTACCGCAAGACAATCGCCCAAGCAGCTGCTAAGATATGAGCCTCTCAAAATCACTAGTTTTGCAAAACAGCTTGAACACCCTTGACTTTTCACGTGGCACGTGCCACGTCGGTCACTGAGATGTATCAAAAGTGGTCAATTACGGGGTAGAAGGGATGGGGCTACCCAGCAAAAAAGACCGCAGGCTAATCGGTCCAGCGGTTGCTGAGATATAAGCCTCTCAAAAGCGTTACAGGCCGGGCCGGGCCGGGCCGCTCCGCTCATACTGAGATTTTTCCGTTACAATGAAAAGACTTCGCTTCGCTCGCTGCGCTCGCTCGCTCGCTCGTAATTATGCCTGCAAACTCAAAACCCGCAAGCTCGCAACCCGCATGCGAGTTCCAGTGTGGGGCGGCCTTAACTCCCTCACTCTCTCCAGGTACGACCCGCTAACTCCCTCTCTCTCTCCCAGGTACGACCCGCTGACTCCCTCGCTCTCTCCTCCCAGGTACGACCCGCTGACTCCCTCGCTCTCCCCCAGGTACGACCCGCTAACTCCCTCTCTCTCTCCCCCAGGTACGACCCGCTGACTCCTCTCCTCTCCCCCAGGTACGACCCGCTAACTCCCTCCCTCTCTCCCTCTCCCCTCTAACTCCCTCGCTCTCTCTCCCCCCAGGTACGACCCGCTGACAGACCAGTGGACCGAGGTGGCTCCCATGTCGGTCGGCCGGGACGGTGTGGCCGCCTGCGCGCTGGGGCAGAGTCTGTTCGCAGTGGGCGGCTCGGACGGACAGCAGTACCTCAAAGTGGTGGAGAGCTACGACCCGCGGACCAACACCTGGAGCAAGGTCAGAGAGGGGGAGGCGGCGGGGCGGGACTGGGCAGACTCTGTAACTAGCTGTCAGTGTCATTATCTGTTAGTGGGATATATTCTGTCAGGGCAGACAGTGGGTCAGAAACAGTGTCACAAAATTACATTAATGTTTGGGTGTTAGAGGGGAAAATTCCTCTCCAAAAAAAGGATGAAGGTGGTATATTCTTGATAAGATTAGCCCCCCCCCCCCGAAAATAAAGAACAGAGGAAGGAAAGATTGCACACTTTTCTACACAATGGTAGAATCTGATGCGATCATGCAAGCAGATGCTCTTTCATGAGTGGTAAATTGCTCTTGAAAGTTGGTGGTGGGAGTGGAAAATTATTTTCATTTGGGTGTCTTGTTCCACCCAAATTGACAAATTTTGGGACACTCGGTCAGAAACGGGGACAGGCGACGAGTTGGAGCCGGAAGACAGATATCGGCTCAGGGCGCAGACATCTACGGGACCAGGCATTTGGGTCAGAACTTGACACAGATATTGGGTTAGATGTGGGCACAGCAGACGTTGACGGTGGACGAGCCTCGCGCACTAGCGAGCGTGTTTATGGATTGAAAGAGGCTCTTAGCAGCTGGTGTATGCAGCATATCGGGCACTACGGGTATATACATCTACAATCGCACTCAACAGGGTTAATTGTATCAGCAGGGCCGGAATGACGCAGTTAGATAACACGGACGATAGCCACAGTGTCGGCCTTTCACGTTTGTCCCTCGTCCACTGCGCTCACACTCGTGTTTTATAGCGTTTTTTTTTGCGATGTAGCAGTCACTGATGGGTGTGTTCGGTGTGTTTGGATAGAGGTTCAGTTGCACTGTTTTAGGACGTCGCGCTGGAGTGTTTGTGTGAATCGGTTATCTACGTAGCTTAGTTAGGGTGTCTGTGTTTACGTCTTGATTGTATCAGTGTGTATGCTTCCGAACCCGCCCTACTTTTTGTGCTGCCAAATGTTTATGTTCGTTTTTTTTTCCTGAGGCACACTCCTTGCCACGCGACCTGTGTTCAGTGTGCATACATCCGGGTGCCGTAGTGGACAGCCATCTCGGACTTATTATACTCGGACGTTTCTCCTTCGTTTGCAGGTTCTATATGTTTACTCAACTCTTTTTGAATTGGTCGATTTTCTTTAAACATTGCTGCGTCTAAAACCTAGTCATGTTTGCATTTTGAACTGATTATTTTGTGAGCCATGGATGGACAGTCTGTATAGCAGTATACAGAGGTCTATGTGTGAGCTGATGCTAATCTCATTTCTGCGAAGTGCGAACCCTTTATGTACTCGAAACCCGTGACCATATTCTACCGTTCACACGCCATCTCTGCCGATCCCCAGACGGCGCCTCTGAGTATCGCCCGCGCCGCCGCCTGCGTGGCCGTTGTCAAGCCGAGCGTTACACCCACCGTCACCGAACTGCTCGCCGAAATGACCCCTGCCGGCGGTGACGAGGAGGAAGGCGATCATCTGTCGACTCGGAGCCAGAGCGAGGTGGGTGGCGTCGGCGAGCGAGTCGGGGATACGAAGACGGCGCGGAAGGGGGGCTATTCCAGTGATTGAGACGGCTGGTGGGTGGGGTGGGTGCTGAGAACGACAGAGAGAAAAGGGCTATCGCTACGTCACAAAGAGGGCGCTAGCTCAGTTAGATGAAGCAAGTCGCCTTCCAGAAGGTCAATGGTGCGTATGTGTATTGTGTACTCTCTACGGCTGGCCCATAGCTGCACCGACTCGCTATAGTGGATATATTCTCGACACGACCCGGCGTATCCCAGCTCAACATTGAACCGACTGATATCGAGAGCTAGCTGCAGAAGCTGACCAGCGAGCGCCTGACTCGACGCGCGGCGTTTATAGATATCGTCCGGTGGGCACTGGGTGCTTTAGAACCGGAAGAAGACACGCGTGTTTCTTGCTATAGTGATATTGCGGCACTGTACTAGTCTAAACGAGCGGCGCTGGTGGATGAACGCACATTAGACAGTATGATAGAGCTTATAGTGTAAGGTTAAGATATCGACTTCTACTAGGCCATAGGGATAAATTTAGGAAGCTGTCGTGGCATTGCCACATTTCCTGTGGAAATCTGGCTTCATACCACGGAGTTGCACTGGGAGCTAGTACCCGAGCCGAGTGGAGTTGGCGAACTCTCCGAGTGCGTACGTACCAGAAGGATCTCAGAGCGGAGTTCAGGATACCAAAGGCGCTGATCAGCTGGAGTGACCAGCGGTAGAGCTTGTGTGGATCTGTGAGTGGGTGGGACCGCACAATGGAGGGAGTCTCACTCTAGCTAGCCAAATCTGAGTCACATTATCACATGTCGGCGCTGATTCGTTCAGATATTAGGATCGTGTTCAGTGGCGATTGCTGTTTCGACTCGACTGATATTTTTTTTTCACTGGCATTGTACTCGTGTAAACCGATGCCTTATTTGTGGCCGTTGAGTAGAGGAGCCTTATTTTTACAGTGATGGCCTCATGCAGGGTAGGGTGTCATATCATTCACTCGCAAATCAGACGGGAAAATTGTCATTTTGGCGAATCAGTGCAAGTTGGATACAACTCATGTGTAGTGTCATGAATATTCTCTAGAGTGCTTTAATCATTTTTATAGTATCTCATTTAACACTTTTTTCTTGAAACATCATAGTGATATTCTAAGTATACAATATCGTTAAGGTGCTATTCCCATTATATTCATAGTGATAAGGTTTGTTGTACTTTTACGTCACTTGGTTGGTGTTTATATGTTTAGTGCCTTAGTTCACGTTTGTAGCGTTATGTTACTAGCCATTGGATCTGGTTCATATATTCTTTGATGCGACGTATTCAGTTTTGTATATGTTTGTTGAAATCTTTGAGTATTGTGGTGAAATAAAGTATATTTTAAAAACAGGCTCTGTCAACGTATTTACAGGAGCGATAGTCATCCCCTTAGCACTTTGTCAGTTGACTTCTCGCTACATGAATGATGGCACGTTTATTCGGCGTGATTATTCGACTTAATTACACCAGGGCCTCGTTTCATAAAGCGAATCCGTAACTTGCGCCGGTTTTTGGTCTTGTATTGCAAGTGCACGTGAAGCAGTAACGATAGTTTGAATCGTTGAATTTATTTATCTTGCAAGCAAGAACAGAAGGGAGAAGGTGAAACAAATTTATCGCTTCACATGCGCTTGCAGTACAAGCCCAAAAACCGGCGTAAGTTACGGACTTGCTTTATGAAACGAGGCCCAGGACGACGTTACAGAGAAAAGTGCAGTCATACACGCAAACTGAAAGTAGCCGTTCAGAGGAGTACAATCAAGAGTACAAGAGTACAATAGTACCAGTCTTATCTGACCTTGAACGCAACACTGTCCGACCTAGGGCAAAATAACAAAAAGGAACAAACACTCAATCTTTAGTCTATCACACTCAACTGATAATAGTACATCTATCGAGTCCCAAAACCTGGGCATTGCATTGTGAAAACATGGCAAGATGTCAACAACAGATAAGATACAGCGTCTATCCCTACACGTTGCCACTATCAGACAGCTAGCTCGCTGCTGTTTGCGCTGACTAAGCGACGCTATTGCTCATCACACATCCTAAATCAACTGCGTACTTCATAATTATCTACCGTGCCTCTTCCGTCTCATACATATAGCTTGAGCTCACCTGTCCTCGAGCGTTGGTATCAAATAACACCTCTCATCTCGGATCAAACATCCTCATTGATAGTTCACGGTCTTTCCTACTTCACCCCCCCCCCTCAGAAGACCCCCCTCACCGACCGCTATTTAGCCCGACTCTCCACACGTGTACTTGACACACCCCCTTTTCAACACACACCCCTCCCACAAGATACCCTCTGCCCGGCGACTCGCCCCCAACACGTGTCTAAGACGCGACACCATTGCACGGGACCACTCTACTCCGGTTACCACCGGTTGATACTGCGTCGCGCCCTTTGCCCCAACTGTTTACATCCTGTCTGGTCAATGTAGTTACAGGAGGGGGGTCATGCTGTATGAGATTGAACTCTGAACGACCCTGGGTCCGACAGGTTTAGTTTTGATGGCGGCGAGGCACGCCACCATTCCCAGAGGTAGCCGGCGCCGGCTGGGAACGGTGGCACGCCTCCGAGAGGTCACTAGGTACAGACTTGTTTGAGCATTGGATGGTCGAATAGAGAGCGTGCTCGGTACAGCCCTTGGGAGCGATTGAGTTTACTGTTTTAAGTATTTTTTTTTCAGTTACCCTACGACCGCCACTGTAAAGGAGCTGAAGCGCCCGTAGTCGGCTAAAATAAATTCAAAGAATACAAAGCTACCCTAGCCAACTGGCACTTGAGCAAGTTTCTCAAAGGGGTCGTTGTGTCAATAATTTGGTTTGTCATTAGATCACTGAACCTTATCCGAAAAGCCTCGACCTATCCATTGCAGCAGCCAGGTCACTTCACCCACACCACGGCAGTGGCCCAGGTCACTTAGCCCATCGCACGTGACCCAGCTCCCATGGTAGGGACCCAGGTCACTTGTCCCAGCCCAGGCCACTTGGTCCAATGACCCAGGTTACTTGGCCCAGCCCATGGCGGTGACGAGCCGGTGATCCTCTCCGGCCTGTTCCCTGGACACGGGCTGCAGACGCTTCTTCACCCAGGCGGGCATCGAGCCCTGCGACACGGGACAGCACACTGGTTAATGTTTGTCTTTAGTAAACACTATACAAAAGGTGATTTACACTCTGACGCTTGATATACTTTTTCTACACGACATACGGCACATTTGTGAGAGCCTCTTTGTTTTTATAATGCCTTATTTATCACCCCAATGTCAATTGGAAGTTTTAATCTTAATTTGTAATAGAGGCCATTTGATTACAGTGGATAAATTGGGCTGCAACATATCGCAACGAATGAGTCATCCTACCCTAGCTGCCAAGAGCCTTAATAAAAGTCCATGGCAGCCCGTCTTACCTTGCTGGTCCAGGCGAGTCGTGGGTTGTAGAGCACCAGACAGACCATCAGACAGGCCACTGCGACTCCGACGGCGGCCACCGGTCTGGTCAGCAGCTGGTACAGGCACGTCATGTTCACCACGTGCACCACGATGTCGAACACCGTACCTGAAACGGTGACGGAGGAAGGGGGAGGCGAGTAGTTAGCGCATGCCGTTCTTATTCAGGCTGTGTTTTCTTAAGTGCGCAGTTCACACGATGATGCATGCATGCTCTTTTCCGTTCAAGTATGGAACGTCTGTTCCTATCTGACGCAATGCCGGAAAAACGGGAGACATTTCGTCATCAAATTGAATTATTAATTATTTTATCTTGGATTGATTTTTGAACATTATCAGTTGTTTATAAGCTTTAAAAGGCGCTGATGAGCTCTGAAGTCGGGCCATTAAATCGCAACTCATTATCACCATCATCATTATTATGGGTTTCCAATCAGCATTGAGTAAGTCCCCCCCCCCCTTTTCCGGCGCCTGGCGTCGCCGCTGCGCTGACCCAGCATCAGGTCGGGCTGCCACCGGCTGCGGTCCCAGTCCAGGCTGCTCCACGACACGACCCGTTTGGCGAACCACGTCTGCTCCCAGCAGAAAAAGTAGCCCAGGTGCTGGATGTTCTGGAGCAGACCGAGCGGCCACAGCCAGGGCAGCAGCCAGTAACTGATGAGCGCCACGGTTGTAGCGTCTATCAGAAAATAGATCCTGTGGGGAGAGCGGAGGGAGGGACGGTGAAGGCCAGAAAAAAGATCCTGTGGAGATTGGAGGGAGGGACGGTGAAGGGGATGCTAAGGGACCTACCTCAGCCGTTTGAGAGGTGGGTGGTGAGCATGAGATAGTTAATGATAAATTGACGGATAGTTAGTGACGTTGAATTCTGCTCGTCACCTTTTGTATCCTGATTCCTGTTATCGATGTTATTCGCTGTGCTTCGTCGAGTTCGTTTGGTGCGAATGAAGGTCACTGAAGTACCCGGAGGGAAGCTTTACCGTTAGCTCCGATTGAGCCGTTTTAGATGCGCTGGCGCACAACAGCCGGGCTTGTCTCATTAACTCTACGCTCTCTAAAAAACATGAGAGTAGACCTAACAGTGAGATTTTATGTCAACAACAGAGTGATCCATGGAATATAAAACTGCAGCATATCATCAACTTCAAAGAAACGATGAAAAACAATCAAACCTAATGGCAGATGCTTTGCTGTAATTTATGGCTTACCTGGCGCGGACGAGGTCTTTCCTAGGCAGCTGTCTCCACGCGAACAGCACCATAATGTGCACGATACAGTGGTAAACCTCCACCGAAAACAGGATCGCTGGCGCCGGGGACACCATCCTGACGGGCCGCTGAGCGTCACTGAGCTGCCAAAAGGACGTGCGGTAGACTGATCTCAGTCGACACTGATGAGTTTCACTCGACACCAGCTCGACAGGACGCACAGTTCGCTCAGTCCCCGCCTGTGACCAGCCCTGTGTCGGCTGTCGCGCGTCGCTCCGGACGGATGCACTGTCGTTCCGACGGCGACCCGTTACCGACTGAGGTCGCCACTCGCCGGGGGTGTGTCGGGGGCCCGCCGTCCGGGTGGCGGCGCCAGACACCCGTCCCGCTCCGCCCCAATCCGCCGCGGGCCGGCGCTGGCTGCTGCGGCCTTGGCGGCTGGGTGTTGATGTCCGCTCTACATGACTGGTGTTTATATGAAGAGATTGCAGGGCATCGGACAGTGTGGTGTTTTTGGAGATTCCCGGGGCTCCTACGCGCCGGGGTTATTCCTAGCCCAGGGGTTAATGACCGTGTTTATATCTGTAGGGACTTCCAATTAAAACATCGCTGAAATATCCGTTTACCTATATTCCTTTGCATGCGACTTCATCGTGTTATTTTACACTTCAATAGAATATTTGCTGTACCTACCTATTTTTGTTCCGCATTGCCTACGGATAGAGCAGTCTACCAAACTACGCCGAGTCGAGTTATCATATGAGGTGAGGTGAAAATTCGATGCGCTTATTTGAATTTCTGTGTGCTGATATAAGTGAAAGCACTGGCTAATTTATGCACCGTCCTGAGCGAGAGGCATGTGACTAGCACTCATCAGCATATTTGACTTCTCAAGAGCGACCTCTACACCAGCTATGAAGAGCGCCCTCTACGACAGCATATACGCTGCTCTTGATAGCGCTGCCCTCTGCAGAGTGCAAACTGCAATTCTGCATACGGTCCGAGACTCTGAATGCCGCGCCTTCTGACGGGATAAATGGCATACGGCGGGTGGGTGAGTCTGTCGCTGCACCGTCTGTATATTGCAAGTGTGACACAATTTATAAATGCACCGTCTATGTGTTGCGGTACAGTCTATTGATACACTGTCCATGTATTGTGGCACAGTCCATCATACACTGTTGACGTGTGCTAACACATTCTAATAATAAATAAATGCACCGTCTATTGTCTTTGCATTGCGGTGCAGTCCATCGCTACACCGTCTATGCGCTCTGGCAAATCTTAGCAATGCATCGTCCATGACATGTGTTGCGGCAAATCTATCAGCACACCGTCTGTGTGCTCTGTTACAGTCTAATCAATGCACCGTCAATTGTTACGGCACAGGCTATCGTAACACCAATCTATTTATTGTGCTATTGCTACACTGCCTAATGCCTATCATGCATTGCAGTGCAGTCTATCGATATACCGTCTATGCTGTGCGGCACAGTCTATCGTCACACCGCACATACACTGTCTATGAATTGCGCAAACAGTAGCTACAGCTATATCGCTGCACGGCCTCGAGGTTTGTTTTGGGATCTGCATAGTGCTCGTATATTCGTTTTTGAAACGTTCACGGTGGATTTATGCTTATTATTAGTTACGGTCTCTCGTCCGTCGACGGTCACTCAAGTCATATGACAGGTCACTTGGGCCTTATCTCCCAGCAACAACCGGCAATGCACATTATTGACACCTTTGAGTCTAGCATACAGCAGGGAAACCCGTAAGGGCTGTTTCGGGGAGACACGTCCCTATTTTGTATGTTGAATTAAAAATGTGTGACTGCATTGCTGGCGTCACAACATGCAGCAACTTTTCTACAAAAAAGTCGAGTAAAACTGCAAATCCGACTCCCAACTCCTCTCCCCCATGTTCCAAATCCCACAGTTCACCCTATTCCCCGTCTCTCTGTCTCTCGGACCGCGGCGGTGGCGCCCCCGGCGGCGGCCGCCCGCCGCCGCCCGCCGCCCGGTCAGGTGGCCCCGAGGTGGCCGGCGCAGGGCAGTCGGGGCGGCGCGGCGTGCTCGGACGGACCGTAGGTGACCGACAGTCGACATCGGCCGCGCAGTGGGGAGACATGTGGTGCGCTGCTGCTGCTCTGCTGACTCTGCTGGTCGTCTCCGTAGGTGGGTTCAGTGGGAATCGGGGGGACCTGGGGGACCAGTGACCTGACCTTGGGGACTAGTCACCTGACCTGGGGGACTAGTGACCTGACCTGAGGACCTGTCGCATAACCTGGGGGACTAGTGACCTGGGGACCTGTCATATGACCTGGCGGACCTGCCACATGGTTTGGGCGACCTGGCTTATGCTCCGTCATTCCGACCTGTCACATCACCAGAGTGACCTGTCACAGACCTCTTGGCCGTTCAGGTAACCTTGCTGATTCGTTTGGTGATCTCAATGGCCCATTTGGTAGCTTGAGGATTTAGCCATAAGGCAACCTGAGAAGTTTCCAGATGAACAATTCGTTTCACCTGGACAAAACATTTACTCGGTAACGTTGCCGTTAGCACCATGAAAGGACCTTTACGATACATCCGGTAACCTGCTGGGCCCATTCATTCATCCGTTCATTCATTCATTTACCCAGTGTCAGACAATCTGTCAGATAAGACTGTGTGAGTGAACTTCGGATCAAACTCTACTAATCCGTCGTCTGCTAGTGTCCCATCATATTTGCACTGCATCAGTTATACTTAATTTATTTGCGCCGTTAACCATCATCGAAGCTGTCTATCTCACTGTCTCTATGACAAATCGTTGGACAAGTCTGATAACCGTGGCATAGCTCGACTGACAGGACGGTGGGTCCACGTGGACCGGTTCCAAATCTGTCAAACCTGTCAAATGACCTGAGCGGGTCAGAGGCGAGAGAGGGGATGTTGGGGGCAAACTGACATTCAGACTTCATTCACTGGCGACAGGTGTTTGGTGCAGCAATGAGTGAACATTTTGGTTGGCGTGTCCGTGCTTGCAACTTTATAAGAAGTTAAGAACATAAGTTGCAAATCGTTACCTAACTAGTACGGTTTAAGCTACCTGTGGGGGACCTGGCGCGACAGTGTGGCAGGCTCCTGGTTAAGCAGGCTCAGCTGCAGGCATCATGGAGTCTAAGTTGAAACGCATTCTCTGTCTGCTGTCTGCTACATAACTCTCCTTGATAAATGCGTCCATCTGTTAATGCCCCATGCCACGTTACGGCATATCGATCTACGAGCTGCGTCTACCGTTCCCTGCAGCGGAGATGAACAGCATGTGGCTGTTGTTATTCATGGCATTGCGGTCCGTTCCAATTCTACCAGACAACTACCGGTTGTTACAGGAGTGAGTTACTGGCCTGGGCAGCTGTTCCGCCCACACACGGGCAATCCCTCACGTTATGAAGTTTCCGACAGAGAAACTGGGCAATTGTCTGTTTGGCTGGCTGGCATTGCCTCTTATCAGATCTCATCAGATCCCGGCTTATACAGTAATGTAGGAATGTTTGGTCTAAGAAGACGTGATCTGTACGTATCCGCCCACACAACATAGCCCGTTTAAAATGCAAACCTGTGCACTATGCAGGCCGGCCTGGCGGTCTATGAGACTGACAGACCATGCCGTGGTGCCTCTCTTGCTAAGTCCCGTGGCCAAGAATCATCCAGGGAGCTTATCGCCAGGGTAAATACTCCCTCCCTGGCCCGGCGGGAGAGGTGTTTATTTCAGAGTTGGAAGAGAGTAGAGCACGGTGGCTGTTCTACTGGCTTCAGTCCACATATTGAAGATCCTCATCTACCCTCATCTGACCTGAAGCCTGAACTCTTTCGAGTGGTTGAGCAGAGGGAGCGATGCCGATCCGTTACAAAAAATTACACGCGGCTTTTTTGTTCCATAGTTTGTACTGTTCACCATTGCCTACCTGTGTGATCGATTGGTTCAGCTCAGAATTGAGACTCACAGTCGTCTGTATTGCTGGATTAGGGCAGGGCAGGCGAGATGACGCCGGTGATAAGAGCCCCGGCCCCCAGCTCACGCGGTCGTGCCATGGTAAATCAGGTTTTGGCGTCTCGGTCTACCGGTAGTTTCCTTGTTTATCGTTAGACATGAACAACGATTGTGACTGGCTTTTTAGTCTTTGGTGAAGTCACAAAAATGGCTACGACACAGTGCAGCGAGCCGGTGATTGTCTGATTTACGAGAGGTAAGACTTTGTCCAACAAAATTTTAATTGATAAAGCCAAACCTCTTGGCAGACAATGGGATAATCCGATGGAAGGAATGCAGCCTAATGAACTGCTTTGAGCTCTCAGTATGACTTATTTCGACGCAGCTAACGATATGAAAAGACCACCATGAATCATTGCAAAAAAATTGTTTCAATAGTTTGAAAGCTTTAAGCACATCATCGGCATCTGACAGAAAAGCTACGTTCTTCATCATTCGAAGTTGCAGTGTGTACTCGTTTTTGCCCTCCGGCCTTGACCGGCTGGGTTCGGTGGTGCAGCTGCTGCTTCCGCCACCTGCCGTGGCCGGCGGGGGCGGGGGCGGCGGTCTGTTTGCTTATCTGCAGAGGATTCTCACAGCGCTCGCCGCCGCCCGCCGCCGTCGTCGCAGCTACTGCCGCCCGCTGCAGCCTCTGCCCTCAGCCAGGCGGTGTGGCGGTCGGCCGGTCACAGATTGGCTTTCCACGACGAGATGCTCCAGCATCGGATTATACTCGCGTTGATGTTATTTTATTTTGGATCACCGCTTTGATTTCTTTCCTTACCTCACCTTTTCCTCACATTATGTTCAGTTTTGCTTATATATTCGCATTTCTCGTTGTGTCTCGAGTTATGTCCGTTTTTCTCCCGCGGCTGCTTCTCTCTTCCACGTTTTTTTTCTCTCTTTCTCTCCATCTCTCTCTCTCCTATATTTTACGTGCGCTGACCTCTACCTTTTGCCCCTTTTCTTCCTTTTCTCTCCACTCCGCCCTCTCCCAAATCACCGCAGTGCGGCGCCGTTTGCCGCAGTCCGTCTGCCTCTCTGCCCCGCAGTCGTCTCGGCACCGTCTCGCCGCAAACGGCCCGGGGCGTCGTCACCTGGTCCATTACTCAGCTATTCGAGGGTGGCCGTCAATTTATCGCCGCCATTTGCATGACCGGGCCAAGGGTCAGAGCTGAGAGCCGGGAAGACTCTCAGCTCTCTGCCGGCGCCCGGCGCCCGGCGCCCGGCGCCCGGGCTGCAAGGAGCGCTCATTGGGCGCTCATTGGGCGCTTTGATGGCGCCCGGACCCATCCCGGGCTCCCTGGAATGGCCCCCGGGTCATTCCGCGGCGGTGCCGTTTAACCCTTGTGTCGGGGTGTGCGTGCCTTACTGTCGTGGTGACGCCCCTACAAATGAACCCCTTCCCAGGTGGGTGGCGTGTGAATACAATGCCTCACAACGATTCCAGCAGAATAATTTACCTGGATCGGAGATCTGGCCTGCTTTTGAGGCGTCGGAAACGGATAGTTTGTTATAAAATGCACGGAATATTTGACTTCCAAGCGACGGCATGCGTGAGGATGATTCATATCGATGATGAGGTGCATGGCATCTTATGGAATATGCTATTTGAATCAGTGTTGGGTGTAAGTCAATTCGCTCGCAAGTCTAAATTATTTGCATTAATTTCGAGGGTGTACGCTGCACACACCACACAGTGTTCGGTCATGCATTCCAGGTTGTTGACTCGGACGTTGATGTCAAGGCTAGAAAAGCGCTAGCCTTTTCCTCATCTTTTTGTGAGTCAACACAACATTTCAAACACTTCACCTGCAGCATGGGGCTTCTTGACCGGCACATTTTTCACTTTTACTGCAATCGGATTAAATGTTTCTTGCCCTTTGTCGCCATCCATTGTGTGCCAGTAAGTAGGTGTGCTATGGCCGGGACCGAGGGACCGAATGAAACACGATCGGCCGCAAAAACGCTCTAATAACATCACATCCCCGGACGGAAGAGAGTGGACAGGACGGGGTGAGAAAGAGGGGAGAGAGAGAGAGAGAGAGAGAGAGAGAGAGAGAGAGAGAGAGAGAGAGAGAGAGAGAGAGAGAGAGAGACGCGGCCAGACAGCGGTTTTTGCTTGGTTTTTGACTACGTCAGTTGAACGCCTGCCCTCGAGGCGGGGCTCTAAATCGGACACCTGAGCCCAGGTGGGTGCACTCCAGTCCTTTTTTATCTTCGATCATATCGCGGAGCAAAGAGAGAAAATTACCGAACGCGCGGCATCTTTCTGCAGGAAAAACGAAAATGAAAGGAAAGCTAGAACATTGTTCTGCACCCTCCTTAAGCGTCGAAGAAGCCCCCTTATTCTACAGACATGGCAAGCTCCTGAAGCTCTAAAGTCGGATGCCAAAGAGTCCCGTTTGGTCCATTAGGTCAGCGACCCATTCCACTCTGTGTCGTCCTCATATTCTCGCCAACAAAACTGTGATCACATTCCTGCTGTGGGCGTTCCCTCACCGTGTCCCATGAGCCCACTCACGAGAGCTGACTGCTCCGTATGCGTCACGCACCGCGACCGAGCAAAAACCGAGTCTGGCGGGATAAAAAGCTGTGTTCTGATGACTCCAGTTACAAGAGGTACTCACGCGGGTTGTGCTTGACCAACTTGACAGATGGGTGCAACCGCTGGGTGTGTGTAGCTGTAAAGGAGGGGTGTAAGGAATATGTTTTGCGTGAAAGAAGACAGGAGGAAGTGCAGAGCCTAAATGGCACACCTATACGACCGAATTGTTACTCTCAAGCGATCTGACTAGTACAGCGAGCCTATTGTATTCTAATAATGTTCCTATACGATCAATATCGTGTATACGATACGCTGAGATCATGGACAATGTTGGCACATTATATAATAGCACATACGTCGTCCACTCCAGAAGTTTTGAGACTGGCCTTGTAAAATCCATATGAACAGTGCTAGATACTTGCTGTTCTCACAAGTCCTTACCACAGTTATTATAAACGTACTTGCGTAATTTTGTTTTTCTACGTTGCAAAAGACGGCAACGGCGTCACCCTGAACATGGCAAGTCGCACGCGGCTTGTCACAGTGACCAGTGTAGAGCACAGTCAGGTTGTTCATATGAAGACAACTTGGAGGGTCGCTGTGCAATAAAAT